CCATAAGTTACACATTTTTTTTGCCAACATAGAAAAGACCGGGACACGCCCGCAATTTTTTAGCAGACGAAAAATAGATGCCTATTGTCACACACACGGAACGAGCAGCCGTGATCCGGTTAAATTGCACGTCGCTGGCAAACAGGCCAATCAGGCTCGGCTGCTCTTTTACATCCTAATCCTTGAGATTTTCTTAGGTGTGGTCACTTTTACACACACACACACACGGCCGGGAGAGAGAACTACTGCCTTTTTAACTTCAGCAATGCTACGACCTTGATCTTTTTTCTCTTTATTTTCCTGGCGAGCCGCGGCTGATTTTATTTTTCATTTCGGACCGCTGGCCGGCCGAGAGCAAGGCAGCCTTTTTGTTTCTTTAATGAGAAAGAATTGCAAGGGCAGAGCAGAGGCAACGCCTGCGAAGTACATTCGTGACGTATCCAACTCTATAGATGGAGAAATTCTCCTCTTGTTTTGATTATGGATCAAACTGCTGCAGATTTGAAAATTATAGGCCATTTTAAGGAAAATAAGCAGATACAAATTGAATTTAATAATGGAATATATTGAAAAATCAGAAATTTTTTAATAAAAAAATCAAAGAATATTGATATTTTTAATTAATTTTTTTCACACAAATAATATTTGTTTATTGCTTTCCAATTCTCAACTTCATCTATTTCAAAAAAGTAAAATAATATGTTTTACGAAATTTATTTGTAACAGTTGAAAAGGTTAATTTCAGCTGATGCGAGGAATTAACTTAAATAAAATTTTATAAATTTAATTTATTGATTTTCTATGATTAAATATGAATATTCAAGAAAGTAGTTCTTCTGTAATTTAACATTTACAAAGATTATCAATGAGAAAATTAATAAAATATTTTCATTGCGTAGGCAAAATTAAGTAATTTATTGACAAAAATATTCGGGAAAATGAGTTTTGTGTTAATTTTTAATTTCTTCATCATAGACTTTAAACACTGCCCTGATAATTGTGCATGATTGATCGTTTTCTCTACAAGGAGCAGACGTGTAGAGCGAAAATTGAATCCGCGCACAAACGCTCTCTGCAACAATGCAATTATCGCGCGTGCACTCAAGAGAGCAGCTTCTCAGCAGATCTCGAGATGTAGATCTCTGTTTTTATCTGTAGACTCGGTTTGGCTGCTGCTGCGGTTTTCGCGTCGGCGCGAAATAATAAATTAATAATGATGATGCATTTTTACACAACGGAGAGTGTGTGTGTTGTTGTTGAAACAGACACAAAAACCTCATTACTCGCCACCAGCATCTCTCCGCCGCTCTTTTGTGACTTGTTTCTTTTTCGTCCCTTTTTTATTTTCTTTTCGCCATCGATGGATGTGTCGGCTGATTGTGCCGGACACGCCATCAGGGTTCACAGGAGGTTAACAGACGCCGGAATTTTGTCCTCTTTATACTATTTCAATCGACACACACATACAACAACATACTGGACGGTCAAAAGATTTACTTTCTTTTCATTAGCACACGTCAGACAGCGGCCTTTTGTGATTCAAGGCTCTTTGCCGTTCATTGTCTGCCGTGAACCCTTCATGCAGTACAAGTAGCACAAAACTTTCAGACAAAAAAATTGATTGAACCATAATAAAGGCAAAAAAATTTACGTTTAATGAAAATTATACTATAATTTTTAAATTATACTATAATTTTTATAAATTGTTGACCTTTATACTTATAATGTAACTTCCAATTCAATCAACTTTGTATTACTTCATTATAAAATTTTTATTTTATTTTTAGTTTTAAAAATTTAAAATTTTTAAACGAAATATAATTAAAAAAACTGCAGTTAAAAATGAAGAAAAAAATTCATTATTTTTTTTAATAGAATCTTTTTTAAAAACCTTTTATTTGGCATTGATTTTCCTTGCAGTTGTCTCCATAAGAGCTTGTGTGGGTAACTTTTATTAATTTTTCGATTTTTTTCTTCTTCATTTTTTGTTTGGGAAGACGACAACTTTCTCAGTGAATTTCATTACAATCACAATAGGAAATCTAAAAAAATTTGATTTATTAAACAAGAAATTAAGTGCAGCAGAGGCCGCCCGACCAAATGCAAATCCAAGGTGATCTGGTTTGAAAATGAAGTACGTAATCTCGCACACGCAGAAATAATTTAATGAATCGAAATTGGTCACGCAGTGGCGGAATGAGAATCGCAGATGGCCGCGGCTGCACAAAATAAAAAGCAGCGGTGTCCACGTCGCTGGTCGGTCGGGACGAGTTCTCCTTTTTTTTTTCTCTGCTTCTCCATTTCGTGCCACATTTATTGCAGCACGGTGAAAAAATGTTGGAAGCACCTCTCTCGCTGCCTGCACGAGCTGAATTTATAAGAGGCTACTCTCCTCGATACGCCGAGCCAACTTTCTTAAAACTGCAAGGTGGCTTCGCGAACGAACAGACGGAGGAGAGATTCAGGTTAGCAAAAGGCATCAGCTGCTGAATGCGTGTGTGTGACATTGAAACGTACAAAATAAGGGGCCACCAGAGAGGAAGTCGCGTATACGCAGGGCCTCCAAATTACTCCTTATCCTATTCAAAAATCCGGCGGCGCTTTTCTTAATTTCTTCTTGACAAGCACAACGGAAGAGAATTTCGGGCGGTGCTCTTGAAATTATGCGGGCCGTGAGTGTGGTCCTTTAATCTTGACCAAATCGTAAATCTTGGGAGAGTTTTTAAAACTAATATATTTGGAGGCCATAATGTTTCTTGAAAAAGCAAAAAAATTGATAATATTTGTTTAATTTGTGGTGAGGATTAAATTGAGGTCAGATTTGTAGATAATTAGGTGACTTTTTGTTTCGAATAAAAGTTAGTATTGAGAAATTTTGTTTGTTATATAATAGAAAAATTAGAAAAAAATATTAGGCAACATTTGTCTCAATTAAGAAATAATCGGAATTCATTATTTTTAAGTATTAATTTACAATCAAATTAAAATCGATTTTGGTTACTGAATTACAAAGAAAAGCTTTTAATGAGTTTTTAAAACTAGTTTTACTTTCCAATGGTCAGTTTTCTGCAACCCGCGCAACAAAATTATTTTAAAATAAAATAAATTGATCTATAAAATAATAAGTCGTTTGGCAATTTTATTAGCAAAGAGTTCATTTTAAATGATTATCCCTCCAGCTATAGAAAAATAATTTGTCAAATACATCTTCCTATTTTGATAAAATTTTATAGGGAAACATTTAACTGCCGCTCTGTTTATAATAATAACCGGTGTCAAAAATTCAAACATTATAATTTTCGCCTCCGAAAATTATTTATGTCCCAACACAGACGCGGTGTTCGTGAAAAATTTATCGGCCGTCTGCATCTCTAACAAAGCCAAATTGGTATAGTTTATTTATACGAAACACGAAAATAAAAAATAGCACCCAGGTTATCGAGTCATCTTGCGAAGGTCACGGAGGAGCCAACGCCTAATCCGCAGCCAGCTTCCCGGCCGGCGTCGGACAAAGGCATCCGGCAGCGTGAAAATTGAAATGCGTTTCTCCGACTTGATTGAGCGCCTCTTTCCACCAATTTCGATTGGAATCTCTATCTAATTTTCAATTTCGGCCTGTGCATCACGGAAAGCTACTTTTCTCTAGAAAAAAAATTAGACGAAATAAAGCAAGGCTATCGCACACGAAAATAGAGAATGAAAACGCCTTGGGCTTTTTTTCAACGCATTATATGAATTCAAATGCAGATACACGCGATTCTTTCTGGTTCATTTGTTTCCTTGAAGCGGCGCCAAAAAGAATAATATGAATAATATGGTTTCGCAAGCGTGAAGATCTGGTGGTTCTCAAGCCTTGCATAACGAACGATATAATTTATTGTTATTAGTTGGATGGGAACCGGCGGATTTGACTGATGTTGTGCATAAAAATCGCGACGGCGTTGCGAAATTGGCGGGTCTTCGATGGGCGGGGGTCTCTCGAAATTTCCTCACTTTTGGCAAGTTAAGAGCCGCGACTGTGATTTGAATTCCAAATTAGTGAAATAAATGATGGTTCCTGACGGTAAAAAAGAGAGGAGAGGCGAAGCGTTTTCACCAAATCGAGTCAATTGAAGCCATCGCTGACTCTAAATTTGGCGAATCATATTGCATACAAAAATTTTGAGAATGAAAAAATCCAGCGGGTAATATTAGAATTGTAGGTGTCACAAAAAAGTGAAACTTAGCTAACAAAATAGCAAGAAAAATGTTTCTACAAATATTTCTAGCAAACATGGTAAAAATTTATCTTTAATTGTTTCTAAAAAGATAAACATAAAGATTATTATAATTGGTGTTTTAATCATCAACCCATCCTACGAGCCTGAGCCACCAGAAATTTAAAATTGTTCTTGATTCATAGTTATAAGATAATTATCCGTCAAAAAATTATAAATTTATCATTTTATCGATATATTTATTTTTTAATTTTTTTTTACAAACTTGCATGAAAAAGTAAAAAATATGTTTCTTATAATAAATTATTGCTCTAAAAAAGTATTAAAACCATTTTTTTTTTATATTTAAATCATAAAATTAATCAAAATATTACAAAATAATATGTAAAAATCAAGTTAATTTTAAATTTAATTTAAGTCTCTTGTGCAAAGATAATTAATATTAAAATTCTTGCAAATGCAATACATGCCTACATTCATTCGATGATTAAATCATTAAAAGCGAATTTCCAATCTCCTTTTCACATTAGCCTTTCATTTCGACGTTACACGCACGAAAGCAAGCTCTGGTCGATTAATCAAACAAGACTCCCGAGGCGATCGATCAAAATTAAACGAGCCTCCATTAAATTAAGCGTTCTCATTCTGGAGCACAAAAGAGCAAAAGTGAAACTGCGAGCGAACCTACAAAAAAATTAGCTCTGATAGGGACCAAATTAAAATTTCATTTGTCGCTACACATTCGATTCTAGTTCTAATGTGTCACTGCTTTCTCCGTTTCAGGATCACATCCAGGAGGTGCTGGACAAGTGGCACCAAATCGACGACGAAATTTGGGCAAAGGTGATCGTGCTGGAGAGAAATCGGCGAGTGGCCAAGGCGTACGCGCGAGCCCCCGTCCTCACAATCAACGGTTCCGACGACGGCTTCGATGGATTCAGGTAAAAAGACCGCAAACCCGCGAGAAAATAATTATACCGTTGTTGCGCCGCCGCGCATCTCTCGACCGTAGCCGAATAGAATTAACCTTTTTTCGTGTGCTAGAGAGAGAAGAAAAGATTTCCCTTTTAAAGCAGCGGTGAGAACAGAAGAATTTCGGTGAAACTTAATTCTTATGGAAATGCAGAAAAAAAAATGCTAATTGGCTGTAAACAGACACTTTGTCATTCGCGTGAAAAACAGTTCCTGCTTAAAAGAGCGTGTTAAGAATAAAAATTTCACTTGCTCATTTTAATAATATCTTTCACATTCTAGTTAACTATTTATTGCAGCAATAAAATCACTAAATTAAATTGCATTTTACCAAATTTACAAAATAAACTGTTTGTCGTTTGACCCAAAAATTTGTGTTTCGCGGATCTTCAATTTAAAACGTTTAGTTATCAAAATCTTAATTTTTCAATTGATCCAACACCGACAAAGTGACAAAAATAAATTAGGTGCACGAAACTGTAATCAATTTATTAAATTATTCTCCTTTCCATTTTCAGAATCGGATTGTGCGGTTTCGAAAATCCCCTTAGGGACGCCAAAACAGAGGAGGTCAAGAGACACATTGGTCACGTGAGTACCCTTTTAAAGCAAACGCAATTTAATATTCTATAAAAGCTAGTGTTTATTTATTTTTTACTTATTTTTTGTTGCCGCAACGTGCTAATTTTGACGTGAAATTGTTTTGTCAAATTGCAGGGCATTAAAGTGAAAATGGACGACCAGGGCAACATACTCATCAAGCGGCTGTCAAAAAGCCAAGTGTTTGTAAAAGTCAACCCGAACGAGGACAATTCAGTTGCTCAAGAAATCACCCGTCTGCCAAATGGGTCGTTAGAGCCAGAGAAGCCCGTCAAGGTGCGTGGACAGTGAAACTGCTTTTAGCTTAAAAGCATTCATATGCAGAGAAAAAATATTTAATAACGTATAATATCGCAGATACACACAATCTCATTACCATATAATTTACTTTCCATCAAGATTGAACTGGACAGTTTCCAAGACGTTTTCTTTTTATTTCATTTAATGCTGCTAATAAATAATATAAGAGTAGAGATTTTCTACTGTGATCATAGAAAGAGGTTTAAAATCATAAATTTAGTTAATATAAAATGCTTATTTTTAATTAAAATTTTTTTATCTTATAGTTTTCTTACTGTTAATAAGTTTTCTTAATTTTTAAATCAATTTCAACTATTTGCTTATTTAAAATAATTAACACCTGATGTGAAATGGCTTTTATGAATTAATCAAAATGGATTGAAAAATATTAAGCATAATAATAATAAAGATATTTTTGAAGAGATATATAAATCTTATCGTCTTCCACTTCCACAATGAATTCTAAATAATAAAGAAATTTTGATTCATATTGGCAGTGTTTAGGTCAAACCTTACATTAGAAAATTCTCACATGCGATAAATTGATTTAAATAAAATAAATTTCCAATTTTTGTGTGTTGCCAGTTGTTCGATATGAAAAAGTTCCAAGCAAATGTGAGCCGCGAACTGAGACAGGCGTACCCTGACCGCCGTCGCCTCGAGTGCCAATGCATCTCCAGCATAGGCTTCGTCAAGCACGAAGCCGATCTGCTGGACAGCCCCGTGTGGGTCATGATCATCAACGTGGTCGCGCTGGACATGCTCAAGGCCAAGTTGCCTCCAGGTAAGACCTTGTCTTTGACGCGATAAAACCGGACACCCTCGCAACGGCGTCGGTGGTTTGTTTGTTGTTCATCCATAACTCCATAACCTCATAACTTCTTCAATGAACACACAAGAAATTGATCTCGGTTGAGGTTTAATATGTATATTAGCAATTGAGCTATTTATAATTCCATTCATTTTTATTTACTTTTCTTTGTTGTCACTAAAGGAGTATTTTCCGCCCAAAGTTTTAATGAATTGTAGAATTATATATTTCATGCTATAAATTTTAAGATAAAATATTTTGGTATAAATATTTCTTTAAAATAAATTATTTTGAACTAGGGAGGGTTAAATTTGGGTTAACTTACCATTACATAATTATCTAGAAATTAAAAAAAAAAACATATTGGGTTCAGAGACTTATCGCTAATAAAAATATATGCAAATTTGCACGGTACTTCAATATAAGTTTCCTCAAAATTTGTATTTGCCTTCCAAGTTTCGTAATGGAAATTTTATTGAAAACATTTACTCGAGGGAATATTGGAGGGAAAAAATTGAAGGATTTCCATTAATTGCCAAAAAAAAATTGATTTTTTTTTATGAAAGACATAAATTATTACCCCCCTGGAAAATAGATTTTGTAAATTTTTTGTTGTTCACAAGTATTTTTCCTATTTATGTTAATTTTTTTTCGGGAAAATTTAATATCTTAATGACTAACAAAATTTTGGTTTTGGATGTTTTTCTTTTCTTTAATTTTGTCTCTCTTTCTCTATTCTGTGCCTCTGGTTTAGTCCACGGGCTAATGGATTCAAACAAACCAGTTGCAGGCAGGTCGAGGCTCGACATCCGCAACCGTCCGCGCATCCCGATCCCGGACGAGGACCCGTACAGCGTGGCGGGCAGCGGGTCGAGCGGGTCGAGTTCGGGGGCCGGCAAGCCCAACGGCGGCGTCAACCACCTGCACCAACAACTGCTGCAGCTCAAGCAGCACAAGCAGGACAAGCCGCCCAAACTGCCTCCGAGGGACGTGGCCGGCTATCCACACGACATTCCCAAGGTTGGCGCCTCATTTGCATCTCTCTTTTATTTCATTGTTTGCATAACTCTCCGTCTGAGCCTCATGCCTGCCCCTCTATTACCGCAATTGCGTGCATTTTCATATATGCAGAGATCTGTTTGCGTTTTATCGGCCTGAGACGATCGCCCCCGACGAGTTTGTTTTCACGTTTTGTCTTTTTGCAGCCCGACTACGACGACTTGGACGACGAGGAGGAGAATTGCATACAAATCTTCCCAGCATCCAGAGGGTCAAAGGAAAAGAGCAAGGATAATAAAAAATACGGTAAGATCAATTTCGTCTGAATGTATCTGCTAAGATAAAATAAACTCTTAATTAAATTTTTATATCTTTATAAAATAAAATACAAACAATAATTTTATTAAATTTTGAAATAGAAAATATGTATATTCGATTGTGCAATAATCAAATTGTTTTATATTAACAAATTTTTAAGGATCTGATGAAATGTTTGATTTTTTTTCTTCTTTTTCATATAAGTTAACTTTACAGGAAATTCCAATCTGAATTTGAAACCTTTCAGACAAAATTACCTAAAAGTTCATATAATATTTATTTTTATGGTATTTATTTTAATGATCAGATGATCCCTACTACTGTGGTCTCCGTGCGCGCATTCCGAACTTTGTCAAGAGGAAAGGCGGCAAGCAAGAGGTGCCCCACAACGTCCCCCTGGGAGGCCCCCCAATGATGGCTCCCTCGCACCACTATATGCACAGCACATACGGCGTCGCCCCCGTGCAGCCCTGGCGTCCCGCGACCGGCTACCTGGATCCTGGTGAGACATTTTTTAATATTGGACGCTTGGTTCGGCTGTTTAGAATATGTAAAAAGAAAGCGCCTAAGTGATAATAAAACTGTACATATCATTAACCAAAGCATTGCAATTGTTATTATTTTCAATTATTTAGTGGTTGCGGATTGGTTTTGGATGCTTATCAATGTTAAATTATGCATATTAAGCACTTTAATTATTTTGCAAAATTTGTGTTAAGTGGAAATGAACGGTCTGACGGTTGACAAACCTGCAGGTTTACAGTCAAAAGCAAGTATGTTAAGTTTATTAAATAAAGGTGATGGGGCTAATCTAAACCAGAATGGAGTGGCCTTAGGTTTTTTTGGACAGACATGTTTCAAAAGTTTCATTATTAATTGAAGAGAGGCTGCATTGAAAAATTTGAATAAATGGCCAATTTTTGATATAAAATTATAGGTTAACTTGCAATTTTGATTTTATTTCTTCAGATCTGCTTATAAATTAAAGTTTGAATGACTCATTTTAATCCTATGTAATTTCAAGTCCACTTATCTCGCCGAATAAGAACTTTTTAAAAGTATTATTCACCTTATGGGCTAGGATTTTGCTTGCTATTTTATTTGTCAATTTATCTTCATCTCAAAATGAACATTGTATTTGTAATTTTTATAATTTAGAAGTGAGTAATTCACTATCTAAATGAGTTGCAAACTCAAAAATACTCTAGACAGACAACTTAGATCAACAAAATTTGCTTTCAAATATGTAAAAGTTAATAAGATTAAACGTAGTAGCTGCTTAATTAAATTTTAAATATTATAAATCATTACACATGGGTTAACAATTTTTGTATATCATTGATCAATTTAAAATCAGAAATCTTTAAAATATTTTAATAAATTAAAATAAATGTAAAAAGTTATGTGTTTAAAGTTTTAAAATAAAATTTATTTAATAATTTTAAATTATTAATCAGCGATAAAAAAAATACAAAATTTTTAATAAGATCTTAAATTTTTAATTTTAAAAAATATTCTTAAAGTTAAGTGTGCTTTCCTAATGTATAAAAGTAATAATGGAGCTTTTTTATGTGTGGAAGTCAATATAAATTATTAGTAACATAGTACTGACGCAATGGCACAAGTTTATCATAGAAATCAATTAGCATCTGTGAAAATTTATCTTCTAAATTATTGCTCTGCTTCAACACGAATTCATATTCTGAGCACCCTAGTTTGAAGATAAATTCAATCTGAATGTCATTAGGTCAGCCATGCTTATTAGAATCTCGTGGAGGAGGTGTGAAAAATTGTGTGTGTGCTGCATGTTTGCTTTTGGTGTTAGCGCGAGAGTGATGGTGTGCGCGTCACCACCCTGTGTAGAGCACCCCGAATAATGGCTCTTTGAACCGCTGGCTGTGCTTACAGAGTTGGAGTCGCCGTACGACCACATCTATGGCCGGCTGCCGGGCCGAGTGCCCATCCCAACCAGGTCGTTCATTCCGCCGCCGCCGCGCACCATGTACATTGGCGAATGGGACTGAAGCAGCCGCAGCTCAAACGATGAGACCGACGACCCTCGACCGCGTGCATAATTAATTGTAGCCTAATCCCCCCGACCTACCATGGCCCCCCCGTGCATCGACTCCGAAACCCGAGCCTTTCCACTATTTACCGCCTTTTTGTAAATATAAATCCGTATTATTTCTCACGAAAGGCTGCACATTTCGGAGTCGCGTACTCAATTTTCTTCTTCTTCAAATAAATGAATAATTTTGTATTTTGGCGCGGCAGAACACACACGTAATTATTTTATTTGATTGTTGAGTAATTTTATTGTAATTCTCAAATTCTCATATAATCTCTGTCGACATCTACATGCATGCACCTTTTGTATTGTGCTGCCCCTCAACTTTGCGCAGTAATCACGAAAAGTGCTTTTGTGTACAAAATAAAACGAGACCTGGTGGTGGAGCATCGCAAAAAATAAAAACCTCCGTGGTTTCATTTCCTCTTTCCCACTTCATAGATTGATTGAAAACCTTAAAATCAGTAAATCGTTGGAAAAAGTACTGCATTTTCATTATATCTGTTCAAAATCAATTAAGAATTAAGAAAAATAAATGATAAATGACAATTTTATAAATTATAACCCCAATAAATAGCAAAATTTATATCAAAGTTAAGTACTAGATTACGTTTTTTGATTGTTTCATTACTTGAATTTCGATATAAGCCATATTGATGATCAACCAAGTTGAAGTGACATGTGACTCAATGGTCTCTAATAACTGGAATGGATCATTGTCACTGTTGGTATTTTTAAATATAATCAATAATTAATTTACAAACAATAAAAAAATGTTATTATTACCAAGAATATTATTTTTAACTGTTTAATAAAATATTTCTTAATTAAAAATCATAAATTTTTTTTGTATTAAATCATTATTTTTAAAATAAGATTAAAAGAGTTTAGAAATAGGGTTTATTTTAAGCCCGTTTAATTTAATACAAAATTATACAATTTTAATTCAAATCCTTTTTGTGCCGCTGTATATAATCCGCACACCCTCTAAATTTTATATAAGAAGCGTATTTTTCGTTCAAACAAAGTTACAAAATACACAATTATTTCTCATTTATAATCACTATCACTTATCCCAAGTTTTCTTCTTTTTGCTGCTGCCTATGAAAATTTCATTTTTCGCAGGCACGTACACAAATTTGCCTGAGTAATATAATACAAATTATAATTTAAAACTTTTGCTAAAAGGAAAATGAAAAAGGTTCTCCAATAGTCTCGTTGGAGTTGAGGAAAGTTTTATCAAGTTATGAATGCAAATAAACACCACATGAATTACGTAGGAGCCGTATAAGGAAAAACGAGCTATCCTTCAAGTTGATGAAAGACTTTGGTGGGTGGAGGCTTGCGAAGAAAAAGACTGCTTCTAATTCACTTCTGTGAGGCGAGCTAACGGCCATTCATTCACCAGAGGCTGTTAGCGATAAAGTGAATCAAGACCGTTTTTTCGCTGGGCTATCTGAGGAGTCGAAATGCGATTCCGAGAGGCGCGGGGGTTGTTTGCTTTGCAATTATTGTCTGTGCGAAATCGTGTCGATCAGTCTCGCGCCCACGCCGCAAAAACGCCTAGGCCTTCCACTGACGTCAATTTCCATGCCAGGGGTGGAAGAAAAAACCCTCTCTCTCACACTTGCCAGCAGAAAGTAGTCCATTCATGCCCTCCACCCCTTTCTCTTTCGTTCGCCGGCATGAATGGAGGAAATCGTCTTCTTTTTCTGCTTTTATTTCCGCGCTGCTCCCGATCGTCTGTCGCGTCTGCGGCCGTCCAACGTCAGATAAGAGGGAGAAGAATCTGCAGTCTGCGCGACGCGAGTGTCGAGCGTGTTGCATACCCCTTCGAAAATTGCTGCAAATCGATCAATTTCGTTGCAGATGTATTACACGGTCGTCGCATCCGCTTTTCGGCAGTGCTCTCTCTCCACATTTCACCACTTTCCACTTCAAAGAACCGAATTGAAAAGTTTCATTTTTATCGTTGTAAAGTATTATAAAAAAGTATAATATATATTGCAGTAAAATCTCCGATAAATATTTGAATTTCATGATAAAGTGCAAAAAATTTATTTGCTAGAGCTTCAAATTAAATCAACAGAAAATTAAAAAAATAAATCAACTGGTGAAGTGGCATATCAATTTATTTAAAATGAGTGAATGTCACCTTCACAAAAATTATAAAAAAAGGGAAATTAAAAAATTAATGCTAAATATACGCGGCAGTCGAGTCTCTTTTGATGTTTGGCGTTTGTTGTCTTTTTTCTCATTTTTTCCTAATTTCATTTTTTTTTTTTTTATTGAACAAGAAGAAAAATAATCCTTATATTCATAATAATAGATTTTTTTATAATTCACACATTTTTTATTTCCAATCGTGAATTTAAAATTGCATTAGCTTCAACAAATTTTTAATTTGAACGGTGAATATAATGGCAGTCTCAAAAGAGCTGATTTGAATAATTTAAATTTGATATGATTACTTTTTTGGAAAGTAAACATATTTTTGTTTATATCAAATATATTTTGATTTTCAAAGATATTCAACATCAAGTGTTCCAATTTTGGATCATCAGATAGCTTTGACTAATTGTAAGTGACTTAATATGTCAATATAGATTTAATATGGGTTTAAAATAATTTTTTTATGATGATTCATGTTCAGAAATTTTTAACCTCTTTACAGGGTTAAAAACACTTAAAAAGAAAATAAAATTAAAAGTTTAAATCAACAGAAGAATTTAAAAAAAAGTTGAATATTTTTTAATAAACTTTAGTTTTTTCGTTAAATTTTATTAATAACTCTAAAAAACTAGTTTTACATTCGTAAAATGTATTATTGTACGTGAAATTTTTAAACTAATTAATTTTTTAATGTATTTTTCTATTTTTTATTAGATTGATCAGATAAAGGGCAGAAATGGTGACCATAAGTTGAAATTTTGAAACTGAATCAGGAATAATTAAAGGTGATTTGTCATGGTGAATTGAAAAATTTGATTATGTACGGACGTTGGCGAGCGACCGAGGCGGCGCGGCGGCGGCAGATGTGCCAGGAGGTTCGTTTCGGTGGAGCTGGTGCGGCCGCCGCGTGTGTGCGGCCAAAAAACTCCCCTGTCCGGAGCAGCGGCCTCCTCGAAGCCTCGCTCGCTTGCTCACGCACTCGGCGCTAAAATAAACAAGGCTCTCTGGCAAGGACGGCGGGCCGCCCCGCATGACACCATCTTGCGTTTGGTGCATTTCGTGAAAATTTGCATGCATGTGGAGTGAGTGAGTGGCCGCAGGACACCGCAGCAAGGACTCGCAGCCAAGATGTCCGGCGACATCCAGCCCAAGAAGCGCAAGAACAAAACCAAGAAGACCGCCAGCGGCGGCAGTGCTGGCCCCAGCACCACTCGAGGTATTTCTCCGAGCAGCGGCCATGTTTTAACCTCCGGGGTCCAAATCGCAAATTGAAACCTCATGAACACTGTTTTTCAAAAATTGACTTAAAAAACAAAAGGAACCAAATTCAATAAAATGGAAGGATATTATGTAGGAATTTTTCAGCTTAATTGCAAATTCTAATTTATGGAATATTTTTTCTTATGCTCGTGGAAAGTCTAAAAACATCAATTGGCATCGAGCGAAAGAATTTTGGAAACTATTGAATTAGAGTAAATACAAAAGTTATTTATCTTTATAAAAATATTATTAAAGTGGATTTATATAATATATTTTTTAATATTATTATAATTTTAACCACTTCTTTTGCTGCAGATATGGTTCTCATTTTATTTCATTCCATAGATTTAGTGCTACCAAATAAGTTGTAACATGTATAATGTTAGTAGGCCATCGTTATTGTTTCCCGGTTTTTAAATACTGGAATAGGCAGGGTTTCTTGAAAATGGTAAACATTTAGCTCGAGCTACACCAAAACAAATCAAATAATGAAGCAGATACAATCGGCACAGAATTTCTTAAACTCCAATTATTTCTTTCCTGAAATCAACTTTTAATTTACATACTCTTGAAGATTATAAATATTGATTAAAAACAGCAAACGTTGAGGGTTTCTAATTATCGTGAACAATTTATAATTTTTTAAAGGATCAAATCATCTTATTCAAATTTTATTTAGCTTGGATTCTTAATAAAAACATTAGGTAGGAAATTTCTATCAATTTTAAACATTTTATAAGCACTATCAAAATAGTCTATGTTTCACTTCTGGACACTTGACGACTTTGGGTTCATTAAAATCGTAAGCTAAAAACTTTGTTTCAAATCATTGAATACCCCTCAAATTTCCATTACAAACTTCATTTAAAATTCACAGACCTGATATTAATAAAAATTTTGCTTGATGTTCTTGAAAATTAAGAGATTAAAAAAAGAGTTCACTCATGAAGCAGTATTAAAAACCCGAATAAAATTATTTTTCTGTGTAAAGCAATAAAAATTATCTCAAATAAAAATATTCATCGTCAATCCTTCATATATTATATTTTATTTCGAATCTCGCAACCAAAGGAAAAGCACTTCATTCTTCACTTTTCCTCTCGTTTCATTATTCTGCGAAAAGGTCAAACTTTTCATGGCGACGGTCGACAATCGCTGGCCGCACGTGATAAATTGCAAGTATGTAGCGAATCGGTCGTGCTATTTCGGTCGTTCAATCGCAGCAAAATGTATATAACTGCCTGCGTAAATTCATAACCTCGTACGTCGGCATAGTGGGTGAGCCTCGCGAGTTAATGACCCGGCCGGCGTCTCGTTAAATTTCCTCCTACACCGCGCGACAATGCACGTTAAAAAAAAGAAAAGAATTCTCCGCACGCGGCACATCGATGCTGCTGGAAATGGTTAAAATTTCAGGCTTTCCGCAAAATTATTTATTTGGTGGCGAAAAGCGCGCAAATTATTTGGTGGGCCCGCCGAGCAATTTTATTGAAGCTGCTAAAATAACGCACAACACGCGCTATGCCCTCTCTGCGGGTTTACTCTCTACACTCGCTCGCTTCTTTTATAAATGTGTGCACATGGAGCGAGAGACTTCTACTTGGTCGGCTATTTTCAGCGGCAGCTACATCAAGGAGAGAAAAAGAGGAGAGAAATAGAGAGAGATGCTCTCACGTAGTAGTTCGGTGTGCCTCATTCGTTCGATCTTTGTTCCCATACTGACGTGCAGGGACAAAAAATAAGCCCCACTTTATCTATGCATGGGGGCAGTGTCAAAATGTGATGCTTTGGCAACAACATTGTTTGAAATGAAATGACCTATGAATTTTGATTTAAAAAAATATAGGGAATAAAAATGTTTAAAAAAAAATAACATCATACATTTTTTTTGTATTATAAAAATGTTTTATTTCTTTATGAATTAAATAAATTATTTTTTAAATAATTTTTAATAGCATTTTTTATATATATATTTTTTAAACAAAATTTGTTAATTTAACAAACATTTTTATACGGGTAATACATATTTTTTTAACTATATAATTGATTGAAATTAAATTTTTAAATATTATTAATTATGCTATAGGATTAATTACGAGCTAATTATTTCTATGTAAATATATATTGTTAGGATTATTGTATTTGAATTTTTGTTATAGATTCAGTTTAATTTCTTAATCTTCAATCATCAAACAAGCATAATATTGTTAATTTAAAAGAAATCAATCTCCATGGTTTTACTTTCCATAGGAAAGCAATTTCTTTTTCTGTAATTGGAAACATAAAAACTGTTTGAATATTTTTTTTTTAATTAATCAAACTATGCCCTATGCCTGAAGATAATACAGCGTTCATATTTCATTTCATTTTTCACTGCCCTCCGATTTTGTATCAGCTTCATTCCGCTGTTGGTGTGAATTAATTTTAATGTCATATTTGGATGGGAATAGTCGCGCCCATGTGGTGCACACTCATCACTGGCAATACCGCAGAGCCGAAATCAAAGCGCCGCTGCCTGTTAATGAATCGAGGAAAGCGACAATTTTGACTCTATTTTCACAGCTCGACCAGTCACGTGTAATTTCTCAGCCTTGGGAGGAATTAAATTTAATGCACAACCATTTGTATTATTCGGTGTCAAGGGGGGAAGGACTATTTTTGGTGCAATATTATTCGAAGAAGGAAGTACAGACGGACTTTCCCGAATAATGTGCGGGGAAAACTAGTTGCAAATAATTCCATTACAGGCGACAATGAATTTAATTGCGGCTAAATCCAATTCGAGCGTCAAAGCTAGATCGCAGTAGCGGCCGAAAAGTATGCCAAGAGCGCAGAACCTCGCGTCAAACTATTGTTTCCGCCGTTTTCTGCGAACACGCGGGCAATTGCGCGAAGTATGAAAAGATCCGAGCGGACCACTGGTCTGCTCAGTGCACCACCCGAGTCCGCACCGAAAGCTTGTTTACTTAATTGAGAGAAGACAGGGTTAAATTAAACCATGGCCCACGGTAGTTCTTTAAATTCCCGTTTAACTTTTATATTGGATTTGGGCCCCAGAAAAATTAGCTCGATTGGTGATTTTATGATTTTTTGTTTTTGCAGAAGAAGAGGAGGATGTGGCGAGCGAACCCACCAACATCCATATTTACGAGGAGCCGCACACAGGCGGCAATCTGTGTGCCAAGCTCATGTTTTTCACCCTTTTCTCCTCGCTGATCGTGCTCATCGCCCTCGTCGCAATCAACTACCAGGGCGACTTCCAAAGTAATTTAATTATTTTTGCCGAAAACCCCCACTGAAAATATTTATATTTCAGCGGACGTTGTGCAAGCGAAATCGAGGTACGCGGAATACTTTGACGGATTTCTGGACGAATTATCACCGGACGACCACCATGGCGACGACCACGACGAAAGTAATCAAATTTAACCCTTGTAACTTATTGGAATTTAATTAATTTAAAAACAGACGACGATGACCATATAGCCAGTTTGGAGGAAGATGATCACGGAGGGTTGGACGAGGATCATGACGACGATGATGGCCATGACGATGATGATGAAGATGGGCATGATGACGATGAACATGACGACGCCCAAGAAGATGAAAATGTATGGATTTGAAATATCAGGTGAAATTATTTTGAATAACGATAAAATTAGGATGACGACGGTGATGACGATCAAGATGATGATGATGAGGAGGATGGTGAGGACGATGAAGATGCCGACGAAGAGGATGCCGAAGGTGACAACGACGACGATGATGAGGAGGTTTGTTTTACAGAAAATTGTAAAAAATGAGAAAAAGAAGCTGCATTTTCTACATATTTATTTTTGTAATTGTGTTTGTAAATTAAATTGTTTGCCGTCTTCGACTGCAATTAAGAACTATAATTAAAATGTGTTTGTCTTTTATAAGGGCTCGGTTTTGTTTAAAACAAGGGAAGCAAAAGGGGGTCGAGAAAATAAAACGAGTAAAACAATTTGGCTCAGTCCCATACAGTTCATCCAGAAGTTGCATTCATTTTCAGTCGTTTTATTATTTTCCCAAGACAAACACATTGCACATGCAGCACGGGCCGGACAATTTTTAAAAGAGAGAACCCGCCACAGGAAATTCCAATGACAAAGAGCAAAGAACTGCCGAGAGTCGGAGGAGAGATCTTGTGTTTGCTTTTATAATTTACAAAATACATTGGCACTACCGGACGAAAAAAAGCACGGAGGCGGCTTATTTGCATTGAATGTCTAATGTATGCAATTGCTCAGGATGATGACGGAGCCGAAGATGGAGAGGACGGAAATGATGACGACGATGATGATGCAGATGACAACAAGAACGACGATAATGACGAAGATGGGGACGATGATGATGGCAAGTCTAGGAATTAGCACTCATTTGATTAAAAATCTTTAGGCTTGATTGGAAATGAATTTGCAAAAAAATCACATTCCTTTATACTAAAAGGAATATGAAATTCGTAAAAGTTCGATTTGAAATTTTTTCATTGCTTCAAAAAGATGCGTTATTTTTTGTTTTCTATTTAAATTGAATTGTTGAGCAATGGAAATGTGCACACTTGCTTTCTGAACTTTTTTATAATAGTATAAGTATCAGTAATGATATAATTTAATAATACATATTTTTGCAGATTGAACCTAAAAAACGAATTTTAATCGCTTCAATTCTTTTTTCCGTATCTATAAAATAAGAGGATTTTACAGTGTAATTTTAAATCCAGATGAAAATGACGATGATGAGGAAAATGATGATGAAGATGGAGATGACGATGAAGACGAAGAAGACAACAACAATGCCAAAACTCCAGTAGCCAATGGAGCTGACGATGACGACGATCAGGAGGACGATGGTGAGGACGACGATGGTGATGACGACGATGATGAAGACGACGAAGATAAAGTCGAGGATGAAGATGATGGCGATGCCGATAACGATGGAATCCCAGACGATCAGGAGGATGACGAAGACGACGACAAGCCCCAGAAGGTGAATCAGAGAGATTAAATTTTTTTAACACAGACTCATTATGGTAATTTGACAGCCCGCTGCGAGTTCCAAACCCAAGGAGGTGAAGCCAAAGGAAAATAAGGTAAGACAAATTGGTCCCGAGTCGCTGCAACTTATGTAATTCGTGTGCGCCAGGCGGAGAATAACGATGACGACGATGATAATGACGATGAAGACGGAGAGGATGACAACGAAGATGACGATAATGAGGTGAGAAATTGTTTTATTTGGACATTTGTCATGTCCCGATACGACCACTTCCTGCTCATTATGAGCATTTTATTGTCATAAAACGCGTGAGGTCTTAATGGGATGGAATTTAAATAATTTCGAAAGGCCGTTTAGATTAATTTGGTTTATTTCTTTTCAGGATGATGAGGCTTAGACAAATGCAACCCGAATCCTTTTTTCCCGAATCAAAACTTCTCAAATAAACTAAAAACAACTGCTCAATTTGTGAGATAAGACTAAAAATCATTTGAAAATTTATATTCAGCTAAATAATTAATTTGCATTTATGAACAAAAACAGATCCCACAAAAAACATCCATAAGTGCAAAATAATTAACAAACTGAATTTCTTTCTTAACACTGTGAATAATTAATGTTGTAGTTAATGTCATTCCAACAAAGACATTCTGGTCAAATAATTATACCCGGAATTAGTACAATTGAAAGTTCAGCTAGTCTATTCTCAAAATCCAAGTATCGTCAAACAACATATCTCTGAGATTTTTGCGAAAACATTCACTCGCAAGCAAGAAAAGAAAAGTGTACTAATAATCTTGGCTGTGAGATTTGAGTGCCATAAAAAAATAATGCAGTGAGCATTAATATCAAAATGAATGAGTAGGGTATTGTAAAATATGGAGCAACTGTTTGCGTGATTCCGATTTGTTTCTAATTTTTGTTCGAATTCATTTGTTGCGCTAATCCCGAATTTTTTGTTTAATTTGATTTCACACATTCATTATCCAACATAACACATTTTCAACACTTTTCCCTCATACGGCAATACCCAAAAGAGCCTCAAGAATTACTCACCTAACAAAATAAGGTCTATATTTTGGTTAAAATATATTTACCAAAAAAAGAGCTTTTATTTGTCTGCCTCAGAATTTCATCACGTCACCAGAGAGGTTCAAGGGGCTGAGAAATGAGGAAGGATTGTTTTTAAGATAAAATTGAACAAAGCCCAGCTGTGGATAATAAAGATTTTGTAGAAAACAAAAAAATAAACTATACAAATAGAGGTTTTATTTAAAGTACGTGTCATTAAGTGTTTCTCGAAATTTGAATTTTTTTTATTTTATTGAGAAAAATGATTACAATAAGGCTTATAGAAAAACAAGGTCAGGTTGACTGCTGATAAAAGAAAAATGTTTTTTTTTTTTTTTTTTTTTTTTTTTTTTTAGAATAAAGTTTATTTAATTGATCAAAATTATAAGATTTACCAAAAAAAATAAAATTAATTAACGTTATTGAATGAATCTCCATTCCCATTCAGCGAAATATATTTGAACATGAAATCTTTCAGGAAGAAAAATGACTTTAAAAAATTTTAATGTAAAAGATTTTTTTATCAACCTTTGTTGAGAGGTTCTTGACCTTTGACCTTGTCACTCGATGGGTTTCGTGCCGGTTGACGGACGTGTGTGGCACAATCGAAGCTAATTGATTGACTTTTGCAACTGCGAAATGCAGTCTGGCCGTGCCGGAAAAAGCAGAGCGAAGCAGCAGACACGTGGAGGAGTCCAATTAAGCATGCTTCTCTCTCATTGTGAGACGGTGCTTGCTTTGTCTTATTAGACTGTGAGAGCTCACCCCTGAATGTTGGCAGACAGCATGTCGCAGTGCCTCACAATAGACCACTTGTAAATTCAATTTTGCCCCCGTGCGGCCGGGCACCGAGAGAGAGAAAGAGCTCAATATACGACGTGTGTGTGTGTGATATTATAACAACGTGTAAAGCATACCTGTGCGCGCGAGTCACAGACCCTGCCTGCCAGTTTTCCCAGCGGCCAAGAGATGAGGAAATATTGGCGCATTGAAATAATAATGCACACATCTCAGGCTCTCTCTTGCCGGCACGGCAATAGATCGCAAATCAGCGCACCAAGCAAACTCCGCACAAGAGGCGCCCAAGGGTTGGTATTTCGCCCCCAACCAACCCTTGCCGCGCCTAACTTAAAGTGGCTAGACCCGGCGCGCGAAATTGCCTTTAAGTTTTTATTCGCGGCCACATTTCGTTATGCGCCGCTCTCAGGGGAAATTTGCGCCACTGCTTAAATTTTCGAAGATGTGTGATTTGGAAAAAAAGTGGAGTGAAGCAAAATAGAGGATTATCATGGCCTTCAGACGATACACTCTCTTCTGATTTGATGCTTCCATTTCGAAAAATGTTTGAATTCCAATTTTATTGATGTGATTGATGCGAAGATTAAGATTTTTAATGAATTGGTGAACTAGACAAATATTTGAGAGCATAGCCATATAATGCAAGTATTATTTTGATTTGATATATTCAAATAAATATATTATTTCAACAATAAATTAGATTGTAAATTTAGTGATTAATTATATAACTTGTAATTTAACATTTAAAAAACTGATTTTTAAAATTTCCAAGTTATAATTTATAAAATAAATTATTATATCATGTTATATAATATTTATTTGAATAAATTTAATAAATTTTTTTTTGTAGACTCATCAATAACATTATTTGATTTTTAATCTCAAAAGAACATTTATACTGAAATCTGAAAATGATAATTACACTAGTGAGTGAGCGGGTCTATAATTAATTATTATACTAAAGCAACATTCATCTAGGATAATTGGCATAAGAATTTATAATATACAGAGATATAAGTAATGTACTGAGATATACCACACATAAAGTTACACGAATAAAAAAAAAAATAAATAAAAATCTATTATATCATCAGTTATCAAATTTATTTGAAAAACAGTTTGTTTAGAGGATTTATTTAATAATAAAACATATACAGTGAAGATTTAGATATAATTAGATGGATTCAAATACAGCCAAGTATGAACTCTAGAAAGTCGCTATTTACGGGGGCGGGGGGTATTTTTACTTTTTGCAGCTGACTTAAAAAAAATCAATAATAATTTAAAGAAACTTTCATGCATATTACTGATTAGCTGTGATTAGCTTTGAAATTAGATCACACTACTATAGTATACATTTTGTATTAGTTTGATGCATATTTAAAAAGACACCTCGTAAATTTTTTTATAGTCGTCCACTATAATTAACATGAATTAAGAGATTTTTATTTTTCAAAAATGCAAAATACTACAAACGAAAAGTTCAGTCTTTTTAAAATTAAAATTCTTTAAATAGATGTAGACTACGTATATTTCTCCTTTTGCACTGAGGCACCAAAAAAGCTGCACTTTTCCGTTTCGGAATTTTGGAAATCCAATCCATCAGGATATCCTTTTGCTTTTTTTGTTCGCATCCGAGCTTTTCAACCCTTACCGGGACCAAATCTTCCAAAAACGTTTCAACGTTCAGAGAGAAAGTGGAACAAAGCGGCCGCGAAATTCCCAAAAGCCTTTGAGCAATGCCGGAAAACATTTTTTGATATTTTTCCTCGTAATTAGAAGAGAAAATGTTGGAAAAAGCAGCGTGGAGCGCGCAGTGGCGGCTGCGGCGGCGGGAGAGCAGGGTTGGAATTCCACCCCGAGAGCAATTTCATTTCAGGGGGTGGCGGCATGCGCAGTGGGCGCGCAGGTAACGCGGGTGGGTCAGCACATTGCAGATCGGCACTTGCAGCCGCTTCCACCCGCCTGCGGCACAGACACTCGTCCGTCTGGCAGTCCTCCGCACTCAGCGGCCTCCGACCGCCACTGCTGCCACCACCTGAGACTCACACACCAGCCGCCCCCGCCAATCTCTCTCGCTCTCTCGTCATGCGGCCCGGCCTCCACGTGCTCCTGCTGCTCTTCGCCTGCGCCACCCTTCAGGGTAGGTTCACCTCAAAGAAATTTTAATAAATTTAAGACAAAATTCACTGTTAATTTTCTTTTTATTGATCTTGAGAAAAATACTTATTTCTGTTGTGAATTGAATGCCTGGATTTGCATAATTATAACGATCTCAAAATCAAACAGTTTTTTTTTAAAATATAAAAACAGAAGTGTAAAAAAATGTAAATAAAATTTTTATGAGAGGAAAAACGGATAAAAAAATTTGACAGGATTTTCTGATCAACACATTAAAGTTAAAAAGCAAATGCTCGCAGAAAATGTTTTTACATTTTTTTATGTATTTTGAACCACCCAGAAAGGAGCATGATGCAACCGTATGAATGGAAAAGACAAGAGATTAAGAGAAGCATCAAAATTTATTTAAAAAAATCTTCTGACAATGAGCTCAAAGATAAAATAAAATCAGCAAAATATTTTACATAAACCTCAGCAAAGAAGTTCAAATGACGAGAAAACAAAATATTCGTGAAGAAAGAAAAGTAAAACAATCATACAATTTTGATGAACTTTTTTTGGAATCAATTAAATAACAACATATTTCATGTACATTAAAATTTTTAACTGGATAAAATTTAAATTATAAAGAATTATCAGAAAAAGACGATTTGAATGCATTTTTGGAATTAAATGAAATGTTCTAGAAAGACACATGGAACAGTATTTTTTCACTAACTTTTTTCACAGTATGCATTAATATTATATAATAACTGGCTAAATTTATGTCAAAGCAGTGTCGTGTCGAAGCAAATAAAAATTCTTAACTTGTTCCAAATCTTAAGGAAATAAGTAACTGGTGTAGTGTTTTCACATATTTTCAAATAATGTTATCAATTTTCCAGTTTTATAAATAAATTGAAAGACATTTTATGATTTTTTTTTAATTGACATTTTTAATGGAAAGAAATGCACAATGTAGCGCACGTAACTTAAAAAAGGTCAAATTTCTCATATTAAAAATTGAATTTAGTTTGAAATTAACAAAGAAGAATAAATTAATTGGACCTGCATATTGTGATAAATCCGATTTCCAAATCAGAGGCACATAAATGTATCAATTTGCATGAGGAAAATAAAGTACTGGGAACGAGAAAGCCATGAAAGAGCTGAAAGTGCACCTAATCAGATTTCAATCTGGCTTTTTCCACGGGCGGCGGCAAAAAAGGTCGGACCGAGAGCCAATTACTGCAACGCACACGCACACTAACAAAGTTCAAGTGCAGATTGGTACGGGGGCAAAGAGTGCGGATGTTGGAGTTGGTGCAGGCAGGCATGTTACACAGTCATCGAACCAACTCATCGAACGCTTTCCAATAAGGGGCATATCAAACGCGCGCGCGGCTCAAATGAGCTGGAGGTCAAGCCGGCTGTGAAAAAGCGGCGTTTGCTATGGCCGGTGGTGAACTTTGTGGGCTCTGACAGCTCCACTCGGCTGCAGCCGACTGCACTATACGTGCATGTGACTGACACGGTGTTCAAATTATTATTTATGCATGACCGGCTCTTGCTCTATAGCGCGCTGGTCACTCGCAGCACCGCCGAGTGGAATGCTCTCTTTTTGTCCGCATCTCTCTCACTCTACATGCACGGCCCGAATATTTACGGCCGGCCTTTCACCGAGAATTTAAATTGGGCGCTCGCCATTAATGAAGTGGCGCGAATTATGCAAAGCACCGCCCGCCGCCACCGCTGCATTTTCATTTGCGGCGAATTTTAATTAATTATATAAATTGCACTTTCATGGTAATCACCGCCTAGCAATATTGACCCAAATTGCAAAGTGCTCGCGGTTTTATTCACATACAGATAATTTTACAAGTTTGAAAAAGTTTCACTGCAGAAACAAATGTTATCAAAAAATGTATCGAATGTAATTTTGAGCTTAATTCACGAGAAAATAAGATGATGTGCTTTTACTTAAAATGATGAACCGGGCTTTCCCTCGTTATTTTATTGATGTTATTATTTATTATATCGTAAGCTGTTAAAAATAATATTTTTAACTAGGGAAGTTCTTATTTTCTACATGACGTGCACATGGAAATGAAATTCTTCTCGCAAACAATGAGAATTGTTGAAGTTATTATTTGTTTCGTATCGTTTATTTTAAGTTCTGTTTAATTGTATAAAGGGGGGTAATGAATGTAACAAACAATTGCTCAATAAATTGAATTATAGAGAGTACATTCTTCAAAAAAGACAAGACAATTTTAGATTACGATAACTAGATATTTTTATTTTTTAATCTAATTTATAAATCGAATATTTTTAACTGGTAACAAAATACAGTATTACAGAGTGTAGATCCAATTAAAATTTTCTATTAAAAAGGATGGTATGAAAATGATAGTTAAGAAGAATTCAAATTAGTGACGTTAATTTTTTATCTAAGTTTATACCCCGTCTCAAATTACTGTTGAGTAGTGTCACAAAGCAAAATGACAATAGTTCAGGTATTTATATATAATATAATATATTTTTTTTATTGTAAATTCTATTTTAAAATTATACAGGGAAATTTGATTCTAAAAAAAATTTTATGTTGTTATTCAGAAAAATCATTTAAAATAAGATAACTAAAATAAACTATAAAACTTGTTAATTATTAATAATTATATAAAATTGTCCCAAAATGGTAATTTATCAAATTATATTTATCAGAATAAACATTTAAAAGGTGCTTTAGCTCATTATTTTTTATAACCTAAGTAGATTATAATTCAACAATATTTACTTACATAGGCCACACTTAAAATTCAAAATATTAAAGAAAATATGACTAACTTATTATTTAAAATTAACTTTAAAGAGAACATCAATTATGATGACTCTTTTTTGCCATTTTAATTTTTCCCCTTATCTTATCTTTATAAATTTACCATTTTACATGTTGTTAAACATTTTCTGAAGATGATATAAAGAACCTTCTTGTTACAATCAACTCAGGAAATTGCTATACCTGATTTTCCGCCCCAATTGCAGACTTTGCAGCAATGAATCACTTCTGCAGTCTTGCAGCGACCCATTTATCAGCGCAGCCTTGGAAAACAATCGAAAAGCAGAGAGCATTACCGCGCGCGGAGATAAATTATTGCACAATTGAACGTGTGCCAGACTCGTGGGTCCACCGCGGCGGTGCAGGGGTGTTGCAAAAGTATGCAACCCGCACGGAGCATTGGCGCGGCAGATTGCATAGCTCCGATTTTTGACACTCACAGGGGCAGCGCTGCGCTTTTCGATCGGCCAGCTTCATTCGACTGCAGCCCTACTCGGTACTTATTTTTTTTTTACCGCCATGTACTTACACGGGCAAAATTCAATTACGAACAAATGTACGACGACGGACTTCTTTGTGCAGCCGAGGTGCAATAAAGCGATGATATATAAAGAGCGACTGCTGCTGCTTTCCAACAAGGACATAATTCAAAATTTTATCTGTGATGCCACCGCGAGTAGGTCGAAGCTGCCGTCTTGGCGTGACATAAAAAGAGCTGCCAAACTTTCCGACAGTAACGCACCGAGATTCTTTTCCAGCAGTAAAATAACCGTTTTATTGGGTCTCAACTGCATTAATGCGTTCTATTTCGGTCAGTCACAATTCATGCGACTCACGAGCGCTCAGTTTTTGACGGAAAACCGAATCGGAGGAGCAATAAAATAAAATTGTACTTTGATCAAGGATATAAGCTTATAAGAGAAATATGGAAATCATCATTTTTTTCTCTATCGGGTAGAAATATTTCAAAAAAACACTTGGTGGAAAAGTTTCGTTGTGGCCAGTCGTGGCATAATATTGCAATTTAAGCCAAACATTCTAAAAACTTTTTTTAAACAGCTCTATAGATTTTCTGAGTATGGTTAGTATTGCCAAATCTGGGGGCAAAAAATACCAAATAATACAATACAAAAAAACTATCTTTTTAGCAGGACTGTCCGTATAAATATTAAAAAATAGTTATATTTTATGTATTGCCAAACAACAGTTGAAGGTGCAGAAGAGGCTAATGATTTCTTTCAATCATTTCACAGCGAATACTTTGATATTCCTTAAAGGCATTAATTTAAATTGCTCCCTATCATTAGATGTAAGTTATTTTAGTTATTTATATAAATCTAAAATCTCAATTACTTTTGAAATCAAATTTAATTTAGAAATAGAAATGTGTTTTCGGACTAAAAATAAAAATATTTTTTTAAATAAGAAACTTCAAATTCTCTGATGACTATTGATCATATCCACTGAACTACATATAAGAAATGTTGTAATAATTATTGGATAAAATTCACAATTTCCACGGTTTTGCTGCCTCTAGGAAGTAAATTTTTTTTAACAACACAAGAACGTGATAAAAAAAAAATTAAAGATGCATAGTTTTAAAACTAACGAAATACGAGAAAAAATCTCTAAGGACTCTAAGCATAAACGAAACGTTTTTCATGTGTTTATGTGGTACCAAAAATTCTACTCCACGCTATAAAAACTTTAAAGAATGTTTTTGAAACGAAAATTAATTTCAAGTTTCCTTTTTCATTGAATTAAATAGTTAGAAATTGACAAAAAGAGCTAGGAAAATACAGACTTTGAAAATGCTTAAACTTCCGTTATTTTGCAACACGAAAAAATGACAAGAATTTGCTTTCACGTGCATCAAATTAAATTCTCTGTTGCAAGTGTTGAATTGAGTGTTCAAACAAAGTTTGCAAAATTGGAAGTCAAGGAAAGCCGAGCAAGGTGAGATAATTGAATTCAAGGTGAATGTGCACTTGGCACTGGAACCCCACAGCACCGCGTGTCGCACCATCGCAGCTCTCGTTGCAGCTGCAGGCGGGCGGGCGAACGACGGGCGGACAATAAACGATGGGTAAATAAAGTCGAGGTACATGCAATGAGCGTAACCCCCGCTCCTTGTATGGCCTCTGTTATTTCAAATAGTAAGGCATCTGTGGTGTCTGGCTACCATAATTAATCGACACGGCTTAAAATCACCGACCACGCCAAAAGCTCGCCTCCGACGTCCGAAGCTGCCCTGGCCGCGCCAATTAACTCAACGATTAGCTCCAGCGATTGATCTTTGTCCTCCCCCGGCTCAACTAGATAAAATTCGATCCATCAATTTGATCAATCAAACCTTTATCATGAAAATCTGCCAATTTTTTTAAAACATCCAAAACTGCTTTGAAGATAAATAATTTTTCATAAGAAAACCATTGCTCCATTTCTTCAAGATTTATTATTTTTGTTTCAGGGTCAGGGACTATTAATGAACCCTTTGTAACATTCCAAATGTAGTAAAATTTTCGAAGAAGCAGCTTATTAACATTAAACAAGACAAAATTGAAAATGATTTCTATTTGAACGATTCAGATTTCAGATAGAATTAATAATGAAATTATTTAATATTCTGGTTATTTTCTATTTATAAAAAAGTTTAACATTAAAAATTATAAGCATTTTTTTCTTTTGATAAAAAATTACACAATTTTTGTGTATTTCTGATTATTCCATATTGTACATTTAATTACAAAAAATTTATCTCTAAAAAATAATAGCAATTTTAAATTATTTATGAATATTATTTTAATAATAATATATTTTAATATAAAATAACTCCAGCTAATAAAGTTTATAATTTTTATAAACTGTGTAGTTGTTAACTAAACGTTTACCACAACAGCACCTGGCAGAATTGATTGTTAAGATCTGAAATTATTATTATTGAATTTTTTTTATTGAACTCTGTGTTTTGTTGAGCAGGTTTCAGTTACCGACGGATATGAAGCTGGCCGAAATATTTTTTCTTTAAATAAAAATTTATAACGTTATTAAAATAAAAGTAAGCAATAGATTAACCTAAATGTTTTTCAATAATTTCATATAAATTTTTTGAAGTTTTTCCCATTTATTTTATTTTATATCCACTTTGAATACAATCTCTCCGACAATAAAACTCGTGCGGTTCTGGAGAATCTCCGGTCGGACCTGCGGCGTTCGTCTCTTATTCCAAGATTAAAATAATTAATGATGCTCAAACAGTTAAATCCATTTGAATGGTCTCTCCATTTCTCGAGTTGCGGCCGGCCGCGCACTGCTTCCGTTTCCACGCGAGCTTCCATTCAAGAATTTCCTCGCCCGCGGCCCATCTCGTGAATGTAAACAGTTACGACGTCGACGGAGTGACGCGGCGTTATTTTTCTTGCTTTTTTTTCCACCGCCGCCTCGATCGTTTCCTTGGACTTACGTCAGAGAAGAGGACCAACCAACCATCTATACACAACCCTGTACTATATGCGAGCAATTTTTATCGTTTTCATGCCCCCGCATTTTGTCTCGTGCTGGGCGCCTCCATTAGAACCATTTTCTGGCATAAATCACTTGTTACACCCTATTACCCGCCCCCCGATAATCCCACCGATTTTGATGAAAAATTGCGGCCGAGCATCGTCAATCCGCTCTCGTGACATCATTATTTTCATCAAATCGCGGGTGGTGGACACGAACTGAACGTCAAAGCACCAAGTGCCACCGAAAAAGCCACGATCATCCCTAATTAACACTGACGTCCGAGCGGCAGGCGATTATTCGTTCAACGGCCAGCGGAACATGACATTTTATCAATAAAATTAGGGCTTTTGGTGCAGATGGGCGGACCGATCGTTTATCGTGACAGAGGACCCCCCACAGGGTGTTCCAAAACTCTGTTAGGAATTCAATTAAATTTATTACAATGTTCAATTTTTGTCAACTACAGAAATTCAATTTAAAGATGAAAATTGTAAAGATTCTAGAGGTAAAATTAAGAGTTAGATCACTGTCTTATAAGTGAAGATGAATAAAAAGCTTTTAAATTGTGGAAATGAAGAAGCCGGGCTGTTCCTTGTTTAAATTGTTTAAACGTTTCAACAAATGTTTTTTATTATTTTTTTATTTTTTATAAAACAACCTGAAATAGGTGCAAAGTATGCTGTAAATATGTAATATCTGAAACAAAATTATCAATTCAATAATGAAGAGAACCTCGCAAAAATATAGCAAATTCTTTCAAATATAAAGTACTACATTTTCATTTTTGTATAGTCATTCTACGTTATAGGATAGTTTTATAATCATGTAAACTCTATGACCAAATTTTTGGAAATCGTCATTGCTTGTGGAAAGGTTCTAAAATATTTATTCCTGAAAGTCTGCCAGATCAATGAAAATTACTTGAAATCGACTTAATATTCTATTGACCGAGAAGAATAAATAATGATAATAATAATATCATCGGAAACAGTTGGAAAATTAAATTTTACGGCAGCGCTTTACATTTGAATACATTCAATTTATGGGAAAAATTATTGTTAAGTTAAAATGTTTTATTGACCATGAAAATCTGAAAATGTTTTCATTTATTAACTGCAAAAATGTTGGTTCAGAAGTCACAAGTTATATGTTTAATTTGACAATCTAAATTTTTTCATTAATAAAATTATTAACATTTTGACATTTTATTTATGAAAGAGACTTATATTTGGAATTGTTATATTCAGATTAAAGCAGCGCCGAAAAATTAAAAAATTAATTGAAGAAATTAATTTAAATAGCAATAAAAGCATTATTTTTTTTATATAAAATCAGATTTAAATACTCTCAGATAAATTATACTAAGTAAGCGTTGCGTCTAGAAAGAAGATTCTTAAGAATGCAGTGTTATAAAAGGAAACTCACAATGTATGTATATAAAAGGTATTAAATTTCTCACTTGAGAGATTGTGAGAGATTGTAGTTGCACCTTTCGCGTGATCTGCTTTATTTGACGCAATAACGCTGTCAGTGTATAAAGAAATAAGCGCACAGCAAAATAAGTGCGTGTTGTATTATTTGACCCCCGCAGCGGCTGATGCTCTTAAAAGGCTAAAGGCCTATGTTTAACCACGCAATTGGGCATTGCACTGCTATGGAGTTGAGGGGATATCAATGCCGACATGAGACGCCGCTCGCTGCAGAGACGCAATACAAAAACAATTTAGCCTGGCGAAGCCGTACCGAGGTAATTCGCCAGCGTCAGTACGGATCATGCAATTTCCGGCTCAACAAACCGCTTTTGCCAAATTACTCCGGAGGCACTTGATCTCGGCCGACCAACTCAACTTTATCCGCGGGCTCAATTATTCCGCCAGCGCACTCCATTCGCTAACCCGCCGCCCGAAATAATTGCTGCCTCCAAACTTACACATCATGTGCGAAAGTAGTTAAACTCAAGTTGCACGGTGCGGTGTGAATCGCCCTGCTCAAGTCGTTACAGTTTTAATTGCTGTCTGAATCAGTTTTGCAAAGTGAGAAGCACAACGCGAACTCGATTGGAAAGGTCGGAAAAGTTATAGCTTTGTATTGGGAAAATCAGGCCATTGTTTTAGCAAATTTGGATTCCAATTTGAAGAGGAAATGTCATACTCATCAAATTTGTAAGGAGCCCCCCTATATTTTATTATATTATATATTAAAAAAAGAAAAAAGGAGCAATTCAAAAGCAGCAAAATGATCATAAATCTGTTAAAGTCAATTACTAAGAATAAATTTCTCACTCCATTTATAACATTTCTTGATGATCATATTTTTTACAATTCTAATTATAAAAAAGTTAGACGAATAGAACTTTATTATATATTTTGACATTTTTCAATGTTTACCTGGTCTATTGTTTTCTCTTTTCCTTATTATTAATTTTATAATTGATTATTTAGACTGGTTTAGATATAATTTTTGGGGAAAAAGATAACGAATTCAATGAATTTTAGATAATGCTCTTTTAAAAGGTATAGAAAATATATGCAATTTTTCGTGTTCCATTGTATCCAGATTTTATCATACATCGTGCTGAATTAGATTGTATTAAATTTTTTAAGCAAGCAAGTGGTCAGTTAATTAACATAATCCCCTTTCCATTTAAGGATTTATTATATATTTGAGATTGCTATGTCAGAAAAGTAGTAATAAGTAAGAAGAGATTTAGAAGAGTAATTTGTAAAGTGTATTTTTTGGTAATAAGCAAAGAGTTATTTCAGATATATCTTCTATTTTTATTTTTATTGTAAACTTATCTGAGCTAGATGATATCAAAAAGCTTGTTTTTATTATACCTTTGGAACGGTCTGATAATGTTAAAATCAGGGAAACGTTCTCGACTGTATCTGTTACGCAATTCCATTTGTTAAATTTTATTGCCAAAACCAATTAAACAAACAATTTTGAAAACCAAAAAACATTTTTCATATTTTGCGCACTTCAGGGGAATAATATTAAAAAGTGTTTCAAAATAATATAGATTTTTTATGCTCTATTTTGATTTTAATAACGACACATTAAATTCAATTACTCTAATTAAGTTTTCGAAATATATCAAAAGATACGGAAAATGGTGCCGCGCGTGTACACTTACTCGTCCTGTTGTTGCAACACATATGGTAGATGAGATAACAGTTTTTTGGCATATTTTTTATTTATCATGTGTTACAACAACAAGACAAGCATCTATCTAAATTTAATTCTCCACACCTTGTGATGTATTGTAAATATTCAATTAGAGTGATTGAATTTAATGAGTCAGTTTTCCTTTGAAATACAAAAAGTATATTTTCCGAATTATTTTAGTTTAAAAATTTATTTCAGAAATTACTTTTATCAGAAAAAAACCCATGATTTGTATACGAGCAAAAGTTTGATTTGTGTAATTTCTCACACAAGCAAACTGATTAATCAGCAGCATTGTTTTTTTTATGACATTCAATGGCCGCTGCGAGTTGAAAACAAAGAGAGCGCAGGCGGGGGCGACTCATAAGTTATGAATAATTCGGAGCGGCTGCAGATTTATTGGTTGCGGGTACACGAGATGGTAATGAGTCGGTGGTTTTTCTCCTTCAGCCGAGTCGGCGGACCTGAAGACTGACATGACCTTGCAGCCCACGGCGTCCGACTCGGCGACTGCGACCTCTTGCAGCTTCGGCGGACGCGACTACAGCGTGGGCAGCACTTGGCACCCCCGGCTCGAGCGCCAGGACATGGTCTACTGCGTCACATGCAAATGCATGCCGGTGAGTCTCTCATTACTCTCTTTTAATGCACTTCAACCGAGATTACGTACATATGTCGGTGCACTTTATGCAACAACAAAATACACCTTTCAGCCCGTTTGAATTATCGTTCGTGTGTGCGAATGGCCTGGCCGTAAAAATTTATGCGCACCTACTCATTACTATTATTTCATTTCAACTACTGCACGCGGACGTGTTAAATGCTAATGTCGCGCCTTTTCATTTGTCAAAGGTCGTTTCGTTCTCCCCCGCTCGCGGTAAATTATAATTAGTGTCACGCCGGCTTCACTACTGATTTGAATTACAAACAACTCCTACTGATTTTTACTTGTAATAGTTGGAAAATTTATTCTGAGTGAGATTGATTTATTGTAGATTATAGATGGGCGGTGTGGGCAAAATTATTTATTTGAATTTATCTTTACTACATTTCATCTCTTGAGTTACTTTTTTTCAAATCAACCGCTTTCTAAAATTATAAATTAGGGGGCTGGGTTTTTCTGTCCAAACCAGTGAAGACATCTTATTCATTGTCAATACATATCAAATCTGCCACTTATTCTGTCACAAATATCAAAATATGATGATGAACCTAATTCTAAATAATTGATCAAAATCATTAAATTTATTTATAAGCCTATATAATTCAGAGTTTGTTATTTTAAGTTATTCCCAAATCCAAAATTTTCATACAAATTCACAGATAAAAAAATTTAAATTGTCTACATGCAAATATTTTTGTCATTTAAAATTGTATTTTATTATGTTTTCAATAAAAAAATGTTTTAATTCTGTAATCCGCTCATATTTTTGTTTGGCAACAGGAAAACCTTGAATTGTATTCAGTTTTACACATATTCATTTTTAGTCTAATTGTAAGTTCACCCAAGTCGTAAAATGAAGCTTTTTCCAACTAAATTTCTCAAGGGAATTTATTTTTTTCTTTCATCGATTTCATTAAGCAAAGCCGCAAATCAATCTCGGCTTTTGTGGGCTCACTGAAATAAAAAGTTAAGAATCGTCGCGAGTAAATTCATCAGCCGAATGAAATTCAATTCCAGGGTCCAAACAGTACCTGCTCTAGTCAGGAATGCCCTGTGGAGTGCAACGATCCAGAAAACCAGTACTGCTGTCAAATGTGTGAAGGTGAACTAATCAATTACTCGCTTCATTTACACTGTTCGCCGTATCGATCAAATGAAATCATTTATGTAATACGAACTTTTTCTTATATAAAAAGCTTCTATTGCACATTGGACAATGCGCTTTTGGAAAGTTCCGGAAAGCTCATAACCGTGAAGATGTAAAATAATTAAATAAATAATATATTTTTTAATTTTTATAAATTCGATTCAAAATTTGTAATTGATAAAGTTTCCCTTACTTCAAACCAAATTTTCAGTTTTTTTTTTTTTTTTACTTAATTGGCATTTAAATTCCAAAAATTTAAAATTCAATATAGATTGATTTGAGATCGAAAGTTCAAGGCATTAAATTCCAACCTACAAAATTTAAAACGTTATACTTTTTATACTTTTACTTGTTTCATAATGTGTTAAATTTTTGTTCATTTCTCAATAAGGCTAGCACTAAATTAAGGCTAAATTTTGCTCCTTATGGAAACTAAGCCAACAGCAAGAAGATCGCCAACAACAACCGTTTGAGCACCGCCGCCTCATGTCTGCACGGAGGGCAGCAGTACCGCGAGGGCCAGAAGTTCAGGTCGAACCAGACGGTGCTGAAGGCCAACGGAACCAACCAGTGCGTGTTGTGCAAGTGCGAGGTGAGAAAACTTTTCTCAAAGCGAGCATCACGCTCGCCCTCCGAGAGAGAGCATAAATTTTGTTATGATCTAAGGAGCTTTTAGGAAAATAAAGATTTGTAATCAAGAAACGAGACGACGCACAATAAATCGCCAACCTTGACGGCGCTGCTTTTGTTTCTAGGGCGGGGTTGTCGAGTGCAATATCGTCCAGTGCGCACAACCGGCGTGCAGCCAGCCAATTGTCACATCTGATAGCTGCTGTCCCATTTGTCCACCCACAGGTAGGCATTTTTATGGCGCGGACACCCGAGTGGACCCCACACGCGTGTCACTATATGTATTGTACCTCCCGGACAAAGTTTACAAAGAATAATGTTGAACGTGAATAAAAGGAAACATAATAAATTAAATTTAAAAAAGGCAGATTTTGAGATTTCTATCAAGCAAAAAGTAATTTCATAAATACAATCTTTGTTAGAAATTTTGGATATTATACAACCAAAGGAAATTATTCTTGCCCGGACGAATATGTTACCTTGGGAGATATTGTTTATTAATTTACTCTCCATCACCATAGACACAATGTGTTAAAACACGTAATTTAAATAAAACTGAAATGCTTTCAAAATTTTCAAATTAAGCATAAGCTTCATATAAATGATTACCGTTAAATGGTGCCTGTAGATTTATTTATTTTAATTTACTAATAGAAAATTTAATTATTGATTAAATCTTAATTAGAACCTTAAACAAGGTTTTATTATTTAGACTTAAAAAACATAAAAAGTAAATTTAATAATAAGTGCATAATATTAAATTTTTAATAAAAAATTTAAATGGATATCTATTTTTAAAATGATTAAAAAATATATATAAATTAAAACGATAAATAATTTGATGTGCTTAAATTTTTATATACTATTTCTAAAGCAGCCAATTTTTAAATAATAAAATAGCATTGGCAAAATCAAGTGATTTAATATTGAATATAAATTGGTGTAAATTAAAGTTAAAATTGCTAGCCTCGAAGGAAAATTCAACTTTAAAAATGCTGAATATTTAAGTTCAATGATCAAAGCAAAGGTTGGAATAGGAACAGGGATCAGCAAACCCAAGGCAAAGAAGTACAACGTAGAAAGATTTTTTTGAAGAGTGGTTCTGATTTAATTGTTAAAAATAAGAAATTTTTAAATGTTTTTATAATTACCTGAAACTGCGGGTCAATTGTTTCCCGAATATTTAATAAGTAATTTTTTAATAGCGCATTTCTTTTTTATTAAAAATATTAAACAATGAATACAAATGAACATTTTATATGAAAATACCACTTATTTTCCAAATTTTAATATAATATGCTCACCCTTGTTTGGGGTTCAGAATATTTAGTACAAAAAGAATATGACCTGTGCCTTCTTCAATTAAATGACCAAAAATATGCATGCTTATCACATGTGTTTCCATTCCCAAGTCCCATCTCAACCCTGAAGACGTTTTGGTGTCATAAATTTTAAAGTCTGTGGGAAACTTTCTTTCTACATGACTAAAATCTAAATTTATTATACGGTGTGGCTTATTTATTATCATTTCAAGATGTCACACAAACATCAATTTGGTTTTATTAATTTATTGATTTTAATTATATTTATTTATTTTCTCCCGCGTCCCGGCCGGCCCTCAGATTCAATTAAAGAGCAAACGCATTCATCAGTTCCCAGCGAGGCCGTGACCCCCCGATCCAGTTACAAGGTCCCCCTGCCGGTGTGGGTGAATGGACAGAAGATCAAGCGCGGCCAGAGCTGCGTCCTGGAAGACAAGTGAGTCCCGAGGAGATTTCTCCTCCCGAGCGTGACAGATTGGTAAAAATAATGCGGCTCGAATTGCAGGCAATATATGAACGAGGAGAAGTGGCACCCGAACATGGGCCCGTTCGGCCCCATGTACTGCGTCACCTGTCAGTGCAAGGGCGGTCGCATCGAGTGCTCACGCTCTTGTCCCGACCCGGCGCTGCTGCAGTGCAACCAGCCCGTCCGCATTCCGGGACAATGTTGCGAGAGCTGCCCGCCCAGCGCTTTGATGCCGGCGTCGCCTCCGCAACAACAAAAGAGTACAAATTAAATATAATGATAGAGAAAATCCAATAAAATATACATCAAAATCTTCAAACGCATGAAGTGGCAAAAATAAATAAAAATTCTGTAATATTTAAAAAAAATTGGATATTTTCTGAATGATTAAATTGTATCTTTTTTTAATGGACATAAGCTTTATTTGAGAAGATTGGAGCAGAATTAATTTATTTCTAATTTAATAGATTTTAGATTTTCATTTTTTTTCACCTGTTTATTTGTTTATTTAAATACATTTTTCTATTTTGATTTTTGTATTGATAAGATTTTTGTATTGATTATTTTATTTACCTAGATTTTTTCCAAATTATCGTTGAAAAAAAAACATTTTTAATATGGTAAATTTCTTTTTACAAGCTGTCATAAGTTTTTTTTTTTAATTTAAAGACCAAAATAATTCTGATAAACTGTAAAAACTTATTTATTGAATTGAAATTAGAGGAAATACTGGAAAAATAATTGATGAAGTTTTGAATTACTGAATTTAATATGTCATTGTGTTCATAGCTGATGCTGCAAAGCAACTCCACCAGCTGAACGTGTGTCTGCCTCCGGGCACCGACACCCTCGTCTACCACTCTAGGCAGCAGACGACCAAGGGCGACGAAACGGTGGAAATGATCAGGTTCGCCTTTTCCAACTTGAAGATCGTCAACCTTTACACCTGGCAACTGCAGAAGGGAGTTAAACCATTCCTCAAGATCAATACCATTCTGCACCGAGACTTCCAAAACACAAACTTTCAGAACCAGCTCACCACCCTCGGAGCCACCTCGAATAGTAAGTAAAAATTTGGTTTCATTTCAATTTATTAATTGAATTATATTTACGAATAAGACCAAAAATGAAAAAAATTGTAATAATTGCAAATTCCTTTTGGCACTATAACGGCATTTATTTTCTAAGCGTTTATATTTTTTTCTAAAATTTAATTATTTTTAATTGTTTGATTAAAGAAAATTTGGAACGCTTCATATCTAGAGAGAGGACGATTGATCGGCGGTGCAAGACCAACTGCGCTGCAAAAATCAAACGTTCCATTCAACTCCTGCATACCACCCCTGTCGCCCGTCGGCACACATGTCTACCAGAGGAGATCAAAGTTTAGTGCTGATGTCAGTTTTTAAAAAGAGAGAAATCAAGAAGGATATAATAATAATTCAACATTTGAGATCGATTGTGTCACTGCCAAATTAGCAGCTCAAACCAAATGCCTCATGTCAGTTATTTAAGCAGTCCGACATTTGTAAAAGAATGCAAATTTTGTATATTTGCTGATTTGATTCATTCGATAATACGATACGGTTCTTGTTCGCATCTCTAGGCCGCCGCAAAATTGCCTTTTGTTTTTTTCCGAAGATGTCTCGTTAGGTCCGTACGATATTGTGGTTTTGAAATGCCATCAGTGTAATTTTAGATTTGTACATTTTAATATTTTCATACGAAATAAGTACCGCAATATAGACAGTTGATGAGGTATTTGCCACTAACCTTATGTTGAGCACTCTCACAAACACAAATCACTCAGTCCCCTAATCGCAGCAGGATTTAATCAACCCCAGTCGTCCTTTGAGAAAAAAAATAATATGTAATTCTAGGCCGAGTCTTCGTCGTCATCCGCGTGGAGCTGAAACATTAAAAGCAAATAAATATACGGAGAACTGAATCAATTTTCTTGTTATTTTGATTTTACCACTTCAGCAATGCTGATCCAGTCCCACACCTTTTGCGCCGCATCGTTTTTGCTAGGATGCTTGTCATAGTTCCAGGCTGTGAAGGACTCAAAGGTGCTTGTGACAAAAACTTTGTCCGAGCCAGACTTGCTCTTAGACATGAAGAGACCCTTGAAGTTTTCTGGCAGTTTGATGTCGGTGCCATTCAACGGTCTCCCGTGAATCGAAGTGGATTTCACTGAATAAAATTAAATCAATTAATGGTTATAATAGTAAAATGTTAGGATTATATAATTTTACTTTTTTTAGCTTCGTCATTATCAATGAGGATGTATTTGGAAAAATTTGAGCCACCATCAAAGTGGATTTTGCAGGGCAAAAGATGCACCTCTTTGCTAGCAGATTCCTGCCCATCATGTACCAGCTCCATTCTCCCTCTGAAATAGCAAAAATAGAGGTCAAAATTTAACAAAATGCTCAATTTTTAAAAAAATTCTCACAATCTGCGATATAACTCTGGAGAAGCGAGGTCAAAATATTATTTATTTAACTATTTTTATGTTGTGAAAAAATTCTTCAGCAGCTGCTTAGCGCAGTTGTTTATTTTTTTACCGGCAAAACACAGACTGCAGACATGTTTGAACTTCTATGCGCATGCTCAGTTAAGTGGTCAAGCCCCCTTTTTGTTTCAAACGTAAACAAAACCAAAAGCGTTGAATCAAAAAGAAATTTTCGCTGGCAGTCTGGGCAGTCTGGCATTGCCATTTTTGTGCAATTTTTTGTTGAATTCTGCGGGAGATTAGAGAACTTTTTATTTTTGAAGATTTCAACAAGATAAAAACAAGATTTCGGTCGAAAAGTGTGGAATCAAAAGCAGTAAAATCGGAAGGTTTTAATAATTATGGTTTGTACGCATATATATTTTGTTGAATTGTTTCTTATTTTTTGTGACAAAGTGAACTAACTTTAGAATGTCTTATTTGCAATTTTTATATCCATCAGGATATACTATAGAATTTTTATTTTAAGTTAATTTATCATAGATAATACACCTTTTTCTTTTTTCTGATGTTTTTTTTACTTCCAGACTTGCCAGTGAACTAAAATTACTGACAGATTTTTTCTTCTGCTACAATGTCAGCAGTCAACGAGACAAGTGTCTGCCTGACAGCAGCATCCGAGGAGATGCTCTTGAACAAAATCATGGCACGGAGCTTCAGCGGCTTCCGGCTGAACAAAATCCAAGTAAAGGGTGCAGCCAAGAAAGTCCTCATCGAAGCTTACAAAGGCCACTCAAACAAGCGCGAACTACAGCAGCAACTGAAGGTCACCGATGAGTGGTTCCTCTACTTCACAGGGAAGTACCCTTCGGTCAAGAACATCCTTGTTGATGGAAAGCACGGCAAGTCGAGCCACGAACGCAAAAGTTGCTCTACCCAGGAGGCGCAGCTGTGGCACGAAAATCTGCTCAAGTACATTCGACCGAGTGTGGAAGAGGAGACGCTGGACAAGAGCAGGGTCTTCTTGGGCACGGTCAACAACTTTCTGTTCAGGGACAGGATTGGCAAGTACGTTTTGCGCGGCATGAGAGACTTGGATGACTTTGAACAGGCCAAGTCAAGAAGGTCGGACGAGAACCTTGCTTGCATTACCACATTCAATGCTGAAGGGAAAATGGCTCCTTTGCTGCTCAGCTTCAAATCAAACAGAATTTCACCAATATTCAAGCACAGCATGCCCAAAGAATGGTAAATCAAATAATTTAAAATTTGTTATTTCTCGCTCTTAAAGCAGAATATGAGAAATCAATTAGTGAAAACATTAAATAATTTAAGATTCGAATGAAAATTAAAAGCAAAAATATTGAATTTAAAATTTAAAGTCATTAATTTTAAAATTTGAAATTTACCACTGGATGATCATAATTCTTAAAATTTAATTTTCAATGTTTTCAAACCCAGAAACTTTTTGTCAAAATCAAATCCATCACTTTTTGTAAAAAAAAAAAAATCAAGATTATGTAGTAAAATATGTGTGCGAGCTGATATTTCAATTTGTCAAAGACGTTTACTTGGTCTTGTATTAATGAGATTTTTTCTTTATTTGTTAACAGGAGCACCGAGTGCAACACTAGTGGCTGGGCGGACACAAATGCGCTCATCTCTTTCATGAACAAATTTGCCTTTTGGCTCAAAAAGTCTGAAATCCAGCTGCCGGTCATTCTGGTTCTCATCATGGAAAATCTCTACATGCACATAGACGTCACAAACTTCTGCGAGAAAAACGGAATCATCCTGTGCTGTCTCCCAAAAAACATCTTCCAAACCATCGTGCCGGACGAAACCACTCTGAACGTCCTCTCCAGGATTAAGAGCAGCTGGAAACTGCTCGAGTCGGTCACCAGACCAAACTTTTCCAACAACTACGCAGAAATTCTCAACAATATTCCCGAATCGGTCTTTACAGAAACTTTTAAACTGTGTGGCTTGTTTCCCCTGAAAAGGGAAAATTTAGACCTTTCGAGGTGCGACCCTGAGAGCTACAGCAATCAACTGACCAAAGCTGAGCAGACGCTGGACGATTTGGAGAAAGTTTTGCCCCAGAGGACCCTGCTGCAGTTTCAGAGTTGCTACCCGTACAGAGTTTGGCTCAATCACAGCCAGAATACGTCACTTTTCCAGGCGTGGGTCAAACTGAAGAAAAAGGCCAGAGGAATTAATCAAAATGATCTTGATGACATGGTAGGTTTTATTAGATGAAAATAGTTTTTCACTTCCAAATTTTAGTAATTTTTTTGATAAAATGTATTTATTTGCTTTAGTCTTTATTTTTTTTTAAGGCAAAAAGTAGTAGGATGAAGTTTATTTTTTTAAATCTCTAAAGTAATGTGTTGAAACCTTTTTTTTCAAATTTTAAATGAAGTGGAATCCGATTTTTAAAAAAAGCACTGCTAAAAAACTGCTTTCTTATGATTTTTTAAATCTCTGGTTTTTAATTTTTTTTTCAGTATGACGAAGAGTATTCGGATGAAATACCAGAGTGTGCTGAGCTTGATTTGTCTCTCAGCCCACCATCCCCAGAGCAAGTAGAGGCTGAAATGGCTGAAATTCAGAAAGAACCGGAACCTGATCCTCTCGAAAGCCAATCTGAATCTCCGCCGATCACCGAGTCGGACGAAGCTGTGGCCAACATTCAGCAACTTGATACCGACGACGTCCACGACACAATCGCCATTGCCTTGGCCAACATGGGCGAGATGGAGTTCAGTGTTAACAAAGGAAAAAGAAACTCTGAAGAAGAGGAATCGTCTGTGCCGCTGAAAATTACCAGAAGGTCTTTGCATAACCGAACAGAGGGACACGGCGTCATCACCAGCCTCATGCAGAACAAAAGTCCCATCAGCAAACTGCACATTCCCTCCATGCCCTTGAACCCGAGCACACCCAGGGCCGCCTGTAAAATAATAACCTCCGAACTGGCCGAAGCGAGTGTGGACCGCAGAGTGGCCGCAGGTGTCAGTTTCAGAGCCAAAGTGCCAGATTCTGTTTTGGCGGCGCTCAGAAACAATACCAATCCGAATGTTCCCAAACGAAAAAGAGGCCATATCAGCGAATGATTACAATTATTAAATTTTTTGTATCATTCAAATGTTTATCGAATTAGTTCACGATGACATAATGCATTTAGGAGATTTTCAAAAGTCTAATAAAAGCAAGTTGAGTGATTTTAAATAATATTTTATTTTTATGAATCAGTTTTACATTTACGGTTAAAACATGAATTTGTATGGGAGAGAGTTTAAATGTGCGAAACTTAATTTCTATTGTTTCATGACATTGTTTGTATTTGACAAGCTCACAATTTGCCAGAATGTACTTTAAAAAACAAACTACTAATTATATAAATAATTATTTCCAACGAGCCGCTACAATGAACTCTTACAAAAGGCAAACATTTATAATCTATAATTTTGCTTCCAACTCTATATTTGAACACATGTTATGATGCTTATTTAACTGGAGAGATACAGCAGAGAATATTATATAGTAGTTTGAAAACACATGCAGAGCACTCTCTAAGAATAAGATAATTACAATATCAAGATGTAATGAGCATTAAAATTGATACGAGCGCAAGTGTACATACAAGAGTTAGTCAAACATTTAATGCACGCAGTCCATTAGAGGCATTTATTATTTATTTTAAGAGTTGTGGCCTAAAAGAATATTAGTTTTTGGTACTTCTTTATCATAAAATTTTCAGTTTCATGAGTTATTAAAAATACAAATGGAGGAGTTTGAAGATTCTTGCTTGCTGGTTAGAACTCCACAGTTTTGGTTGCTTATGCAACATTATCATCCTTGTTGAGACTCTTCATCTGAAAATAATCAACATTTTTTTAGTGAAATGAGAACATTCATAAAGATCCAAATAGCTTTGTGAGATATTTAAGTATTCAATTTGAGCTTTGCAGTGATAAAATGAGACCTAGCCGTGACCAAAAGACTATACTACTGTGGCGAGATATAAAAATTTAAAAATCTCATACACTGCAGAGGAATGTACGTTTTAATTGCTTCAGGTTCAGTGACGGCCACAAATTTTGTCTCGTCATCCTGAATATATTCCAACGCAATTAATTAGGCTCGTTTTGATTAAATTGATATAATTGTAAGTAATTATAAAAAATTTCAAAAACCAACCTCTTTCTCCTCAACCCTGACTGGGCTGTACTCGGTGTCTCCGGCGTTTCGGCTGGTTGGGGCAGGAGCGGCCAGGCAGTGCTTGTAAATCAGGGCGGCGGCGATGCCTCCGAGGATGGGGCCGAACCAGTACACCTGACGAGTCATTTCGTAATTAATATTCCATCAATTCTATTGAGAGGCTTTTTGTGGCACCCTTTGTTCAGAGATTATTACTCATTTAAAAAAAGAACAAAAGCCATAGACGAGCGTTCAAGTTGCTCTTTTTTGTTATCGCAATCAGCGGGTGTGGTTGAAAGGCAAAAAGTGTAGCCACTTAAAGAAAGAAGAATAATGTTTTCAACTTACCCACTGGTTGTCCCAGATTCCTGACACAACAGCAGAGCCAAAGGTACGGGCAGGGTTGATGCTCGAGCCAGTGTAGTTGATCTAAAATATCATTAATTAAAATAAATAACATTTCTTTATGAAAATTTAAAATTGTAAAAAATTGAAAGTAAACAATGAATTAATAATTTATGTGCATGAATTTATAAATTACTCCAATAAGTTCAATATAAAATGATAAAAAATTTAACAAATTGACCAAACGATTTTCAGTAAATGACATAAAATGAATTTTTAATTTACAAATAATTTATTAAAATTATTATTTGCAATGCAGCTTGGAAAATTTTAAATAAAAATAAAATGCATATATTTACAACTGTATGGTATATAAAGGATTAAGATGTATGTAAATGATAAATTAAATAATAAAATTGAACTTACAGCAGAGAAGTGGCAAGCGGCGACGGCAAGACCGATAGCCAGGGGAGCAGATCCCTTCACGTCGTCACGGTGGGGGTCGCACACACCAAAGATGACGAAGAGCAGCAGGAAGCCGAGGAAGAATTCCATGCCAAAGCCCTGCAGGACGTCCAGGTGCTTGTGCACGGTGGTCATGCCCAGGTTGCCGCCCAGGTTCTCCGGAGTCAGGGCCTGTCATACAACAAAGTTATTAATGTTCAGCAGACTGAGCTTAATGAAAAATGAAATAAGCAAAAGAGAAAAAAATATATAAAAATAATCAATAAAATGAAAATCTTTTTAAAATTTTTAAAATATTAAGCAAAAAAATTACCCTGAGAATGAGGGAGCCAATGGTGGATCCGGCACACTGGACAAGGATGTACAAAATACCCTTGATGATGGTGATGTTGTTGGTCACCATCATGGCGATGGTCACGGCAGGGTTAATGTGGCCGCCGCTCACATGGCACACCACCTAAAATCAAAATTTAATTAGCGCGCTTGTTTCTTTCCATTTGAAAAGGGTAGAATAAAACTGGTAATAAACTGGTTCGTCAACTTTTAATAACCGCGGGTTCAATTTAATTATTCATTATTATTACGTTTAACACTTTCAAATGATTTATAGTGATTCTCCGAAGTATAAATGACAATTATTTATGCTAATTACCCACATGAAGGCATAAGAAAAGAAAAGAGTTTCTATTGACTTGAAGTGCCGTCAATAAAGGCAAGGGAGTCGCAAGATTGTGAAACACTGTGAAGGTCTCTGTCATAAATTGAATTACAGACGAGAGCGGTCACAGATCAATAGAGGCGCGCGTTAATTAAACAGAGACGCATTAAAGACCGGACGAGTTTTATGTATTGTAGGAGGTACTTGAAAGTTAATTCCATTTTATTTCTTCCTTTCTTTGCAAACTAAGGTGCGCGCATAACTTTGACGCAAGCGATACATTTTCACGTTGATAAGGAAAATTTGCTCTTTTGGTAATAAAATTTTAAATTCTGTGCCTCGAGTTTTGTTTCATAATTTATGTTCTTAAATGAACTCATTTTATGCGGGTTGTTGTTGACTTTTGCGGTTGAAAAGGGGGTATTTATCGCCGATCGTATATTTTAATACAGGCAGCGGTGAACTCGGCGGCGGCGCTGATAATGAGAGAAATGCCACATGCATAGGTTAAATAATGGAGAGGCGTTATCGCGCGGCCGACGCCGCGACCACCGGGCTCAAAATGTGTGGGAAAGTGGGAAAATTATCTGTCAACTTGAACGACAACTGCCAGGGGTTACCTAGCAGTCGTTGGAATTATTTTTGATAAGAAAGGAAATGCTAAAAAACGTCAAAGCGAATTTAAAATTTTCTATCGAAAGTAAATTTCTTAAATTGTTTGAATTTTTTTTTTCTGATTTCAATTTTTAATGACAACAAGGGAATAATTAATAACATTATTTTATATCATTTATTTTGCGGTCTAGAAAATTCTCCACATCGATATTATTTCCATCACGCTGATTGCGAGTGCACTGAAGTGATTTTTTACAACTCTGTTTGTTTGCGGCGAGACACATTTTATTATTTTCCTGTCGCGAAAGACAGTCGTCACATATTATTTGCTTTTCGCATTACGTCTCTGTTCTCACCTATTTTTGCAACAAAACAAGTGAATCACCCGCGAGAAATCCGAGGATATCAAAATAAAGAGCTTAAGATAACGAGCGGCCTGCGTTATTCGGATTACTAAAAAAGGCGAAATCGAAAAAGAGATTAAAATCGTGCATAGTGAAATGAGAACGCAAAATATTTGATTGCTCTAGCTTTTGGTTTGGCATTTCCAGGAACACTGCGGTTTGTGCACCGGAAAAGCCGATTTTCGGAATTTCAAATTGAGGCCACAAATTGAAACATGGCGACGGGAAACGTAAAACTTTTGCGGTGTCAACAACGACTTTGGAAAGAAGCCGTTTGTTTGTTTTGTCTAAAGACCTTAGAAAATTCAAGGCAAAATCTAATTCTGCATGGATCATATAATTGTTGATAAGAATATTAAGGAAGCTCAATGCCAAAATGATAAAAAACAGACAAACAATAAAACTATTTCAATTTAGAATGAATCTAAAAAGCTGCCTACAGAGCTGTAAATCGTTTTGGGTGGTCCGCAGAAATCGACCTTTTTGTAAACCACGCAGTCATTAGAAAATTGATTGTTTGGGTACACAAAGGATTAATTAACAGTAGATAGTTAACCCAATTTTTAACCTTTAAAGCAACATAGAAAATTCCCTTGAGACTCTCTGATAGGTTTGTAAGTAACGAATCAAACAATATTCAAGATGTTATTTTGAATAAAAATTTTAAAATTTTCCATAAAAAAAGATAATAGAAATCATAGAAATTGTAAGATTGAAAGTTATTTTAAATTTTAAATTTGGGGAAGCTACGTACCTGGACGACTGAGGCGAGCACAAGACCGAAGGTGAGAGAGATCAGGAGGTTGCTTGAGGAGCCGGTCTCGTTCAGCGTGACCACGGAAGCGCAGCCGAGCAAGTTGAGGAACAAGTTGCCGATGAACTCGGCGAGAAGGGGTCGCCAAATGGCGCGACGACCCTTGGCGATCACCTCGGACCATCCCAGGCGTTCCTTTATCCACGACATTCTGCAAAAAAGGACGAGAAATCGGTTGGTCAGTCACGTATTTGAATTCAACATAGTTGGCGCTGGACAATGTGAAAGCATAAAAATCAAATTGAGCAAGTTCGATTTGCATTTTGTTGTCTCAGGTTGAATGACACTTGGCAGAATCTATCTTTGTTATGCAAATTTATTTTGAATTACACAATGAATTATGGAGCGTTTATCGTTCAATGCAAGGATTAAACTTTTTAATAATTTATTCCAAGAATGATTTTTGTATTCACTCAAGAGTTAAGAAACTACTGAAATCATCGCAGACAAGATAAAAAGTAGGACACTTAGGATTCATATGTATGTATATAATTGCCTCAAAGAAGATAGGGCGGCACTTTTTTTGAGAGCGCACTCTGGGAATTAAGCCCTCATCTTGTGCCGCGACTGCATTTCGTGCGCAGTGCCCCACAAATGCTGCAGAGCACACAATATTGTCTCAAGTGGTACTTGTTGTATCTCACAATTAGTAATTACGAGAGTGTTTGGACGGCGCTGCCTCAAGAATGGGGGCTTCGCGGTCGCGGCTGCCGCGAGGGAAATTACATTGTAGGCGTCTCAATTGGACACCCTCATAGTAAACAAAAGCAATCCACAATAACTGGCGTGCGTTCATAAATTTTGTAATTTTATTTGACAGCGGTTGTTGAGAGAGAAATGAAACATTAACTCTTGATTCGGCCAAATATGTGCCGAGTCGTGATATATATCGGTTTGGTCATGCTGGAATTTTATAATTTTATCAAAATTTTGACATATTATTAATAAATTAAAATTAGAATTCAATTTCTTTTCACAGCATTGAAGAAAAGAATTATTTGCGCAAGTTATTCACGTCAATGAAATTGCATTTGCACGCATTATAGTGATTTCAGGGAAGAATGTATTAAATAATTAAACTCGAGCTGTAAAATTTAAAATTCAATAAAAGAATAAAATAATTAAAATAATTATATAATATTAAAATTATATTATTACAAATAATATCAGTAATTAGAAAAAAATTGTCAAATGACAGTTAAATGACAAAAAATGTAGTTTAACATAATATAAAATATAAACTAAATATATAATGTTTTTTCTTTTCTAAGTATTTTAAATCTAGTCTCAGTCTGCACAATACTAAATTAAACAAAAAAATTAAAAAGGCCACTTTTGTAAGAACGGGTATATTTGATATCATTAAGTGCACTTAAATTTTTTATCTCCTTTAAATTATGGTGCTCCAAATCTCATCTGTCTCTCTCACGCTTTTTCAGTCTGACGTGATTCTGGTTTGTGTAAAATTTCTAATGAAATCCAACACCCCTAACGTTTCTCTTACTCATGCGAGGCCAACTGGGGACTAGATGAAGGGAGCCCCTTTGTTCTGATTTCGGACAAAACGGAAACGCGGTGGTCCATCTCGTATTCGGCCAGTCATTCAAACCAGAGGACCCCTCTGTGTTAGTTTATGGCGAGGCACCACGTGCATCAAATTATTATCGGTGGTCGGTGCACACTTCCTGATTCTCCGGAGACAATTAGTGTGGCGAAATCTCCGAGGAAAACGCTTTATTTTTATAATTGACACCGTTTTCCAGAACTCAATAAAGACGATCACGATTTTGGTCACAGAGAGTCCAAATTGTACACGGTTTTTCGTTAAACAATTAAAAAAAATTAAAGGCTATTGACACTCTGTGAAGTTATATAATATTTAATATTTTTATATTTCTAATATATTGATAGGACAAATTAAATTAAAAAATGCCCTCACTTTTAGATAACAATAACAAATTACTTTGGCAACACTATTTGAAATATATAATTAATCAGAAAATGGAGCTGTCAGACTGGGAAACAATAAATTTAGTTCGAGAGGTTCAACGACTGTTGCCAGAAATGATTCATAATATGAAACTTGGGCGGCCTCAGCAGCAGCAGCAGCCTGTGGCTTTTTTTTACCGATTCGCACAGATTATAACCCACTCCTAAAGTTGACGAGCCGCTTTTCAAACAAGTTGCCATTTAAGCGAATTAAATGATGCGTAATATTACTTTTTGCTAAGTGAATATATATTTTATGGTATCGAAGACTCCGAATTAAATTTATTTACGATGTAGCCAGTGGCGGGCAAAAAATGTGCTGCTGATATTCATCGGCACTCTTTATTATTTCCACTGCAATTACGCCCGGTCTACCGCGCCAACAATTGATTCCATCATTCTGCTTTGTTATTTGTTTCCTCTGTCCTCTTATCGCTCGTGCAAATGTACATTTTTCCCTGCTGCAGGCATGCGTTCGCCGAAATAAGAGGCAATAAATTTTTCGACGGAATTTACCATCCTATGATGCAACGTGCGGTACACGCGCTCTCATAAAAATCGTAAAAGTTTTACACCGCGTCTGCCACGTTGTCTATTGTTTTGCAACAATCAAGCAAACATAAACACAAAGCAATAAAAATTCATTCATAAATTTTTCTAATCTAACAAAATTTTAAGATTTTTAGTAACTAGTGTGTAATTTTGGTGTTCCAGTTCTTTTCTTATCGATTTTAATTTTATTAAAATGTAACATGAAATTACATGTTACAAAAGTTTTTCAAACTTATAAAATAATTGATATTCAGTATTTAAACTATACATAATAATTTAAAAGAATTATAATTTTTTATTTATTTAAATTTAATAAATATAATTTTTTAAACTTTTTTTTATAATTCCATATTTTACTTTTGTAAACAAATTAAAAATTATGTTAAAAAACTACTTATTTTTTTATTCAATATATATGATGATCAGATCATTAGTATGTTATATCTTTGCAATACATTTCAATCTACAATTTTTCTAAAAGACCGATCGTAATCATTAATAAAATATATTGTCCCCACAGATTAAAAAATGAAGTATGTAGAATTATAAAAAAAATCACTTCATTATGAACTTCAAATAAAATTTTTGTATTTATAAGCTCTAAGCAGGTATTGATTTGGACCACTCTAAACAGTCCAAACTCTTTTAGTGATGACTGAAAGAAACACCACCCCTACCCCTTCCGTTTCGTTCCGCAACAATCAAACAAACCTCTCTTCGTCTGTCTAAATCAAAAGAGACAATGCATTTATTTTTAGTCCCACTCTTAAGATTCCCTCTGTTGTGAAAAATGGATGTGTTCCAAGATCGAAGTGGCCGCCGGCGTGTCGCGGGTGAAAACAACACAAATTATATGAGTGCCCGTTTATATTTGTTTGTTTATTGTGCCGCGGTCAGTTGGATTACACGCTTGGGATTCGGGGGCGTCCGCTGAAATTTCGGGGGCCACACCTTGTTGCTGCCCTCGATTTTTTTATTATTCGTTTTTTGTTCCGCGCGTGATGCATTCCGGGCAGCACGCCCTACACAAAGTTGAACTACGCATTTCCTCCGCGTGCAACACAAGCATGATGAGATATAAATTCGAGAGAGTGGCCACCAATGAGTGATGGATGATTTAATCCATTCGCGGAGAACCAATCTACTAATTGAAGCGACGGACGCTTTTGTAATGGGATAGCAGAGAGATGCACTCATCTCTATTTGCGAAATTTAATGAGAGAGAAAATAAAGAATGGGTAGGCGAGCAATGTCTTTGTGCTGATTGTGAGTGACGGATTACGCCATCTCTGAAAATCGTTAAGTTAAAAAACGTTAATGATGATTATTATTGTTTATACTAAGTGGCAAAAATTATTTTATCTCTTGTTATAATTTATAAGAAGAGCCAATACGACTTTTTAAATACAATTATAACGTTAAAACTCGAAGTTAGATGAATTTATTCTCAAACCATTTCCTAGCTAGCTTCAATACACGAGTATTTATTAATAATTCAGAACTTGATTATTAAATTAAAATGTTAAATATCATTGTCAGAAAAAAATTATGGCTTGTGAAAGAATAATTGACAATTTAACACCTTATGTAATTTTTTTAAATAAAATATAAGTAAAAGTTTTAATATTGTAAATTATTTTAAAATTAAATTAATATTGATTTTTTTTAAATGTTTATTAATTGTACCAGCATTCAATAGATTGATCAAGACAGCCTACGCGTGAAGGCACCGCTGCCAGATTCCGCTCTATTTCGCGCGCTTGGCTGAAAATGCGACCAATTTGCAACACGATTAGCTCGGATTTATCACTGAAAACGTTTGTTTCGATGGTTCAATTAATTACTGCGGCGCGCCCGTCTGGCTTAACTCTCACTTGTTTGCCAAGCAGCGGCACAGTGACACCGTGAGCCGATAAATACTCGCAATCACACCTGTGCACTCGACAAGAACCTTAAGATTGTGGTTCTAGCACTACTTTTCGATTACATGTAATACATAATTTTTTATTGCAAACTGACAGAAAAAGAAATTAAAAACAAACATTAAATTGTTGAGTTGAAAAAGAAAACAAAATTTTCTTCCAATTTTAACTGGTTTGTTCTTTCTTTTTTAAATTTTTTAGCGTGTGCAAAAAAGAGACCGTAAAAATTCATCATGTTTTTAATTAAAAACACCCATGCTGCTATTAAAGCTTTTTCGCACAATAATAAAACCGCTCGAGCGGTCTTTGGCCTCTTATTCTTCTTTCTCATGTGGCCGAGAGGGTGCGACGTGACCGTAAAACAGCACCCAGTCTGAAACGCACGTTTTTTGCCTACGTTGAGCGATACCAATAAATAGCGCACCTTTGTGTCTATTCGGCGCTGGCTGGCATTTTGACAAATCCCTCTTTTATCGTCTTAATGACCCCTCTCGAAATCCTCGAACGTGCTCTCTTTCGAAAGCGTCGTGGCACAAAAAGAAAACGAAGCAGAAAAAATCAAAATCGTGCACCGTGTTCGAGGGAAAAAACGGCGTAATTTGGTTCACTTTAAATTGCCCCGGAATATCACTGTCACGGTTCAATGTCAAGGAAACGACGCGCAACCGACATACAACAACATGATGGCGGACAACAAAAATGATAATTAATATCAGCCGAGCTGGGGGAAAAGCAAAAAAGATATCTAAATATATATACACGGTCCGTGCCAGACACACTGTTCCCCGAAACTTGGCACAAGATGTTTTGAAAATTATATTTTACAATGCTCTAAATCACTTATGGTCATTAGAGATTCGTTGTATAATTGCATAAAAATTACATCACGATTTCTATCTAAATGCATTTTTATAAAGAGTCGTGTAGAGAAAATTGCATTCAGACATGCGAAGAAGAAAACAAACAAAGAAATGGGAATTAAGAAGAGATGGGAACTTGGAGATGAATGAAGAAATCGTTTGCTTCGAGCTCCGGGCGAGGTTAAAGAGAATTGGGAATTCACACATATTACGAAAATTACATAATGAGGATAATATTATAAATAAATATATAGATTTTCCTCGTAGTTCAAAAACAACGCGAGATCTGTAATCGGCGTGAATCACTTTGGTGCAATAAAAAGCTGCACAAACAAGAGTTGACGTCGTCTGTACATATTTCCGAGAAGCGGCCGAAAACCAGTGGTGCCGCAAGAAGTTCCGAATAATTTTTCATTATTTGCAAACCTGCGGGCAGCTTTTGCATTTGGTATTCCCCGCTGTGACTGTGCACACTGTGTTGCATTAATACTTTTTGTGGACGAATTTTATTTTTTGCTTTCGAAATGAACAGGAGAGAGGCAGCAGGTGGTAATTCGAGGAGGAAAAGTTGCGAGAAGTGGAGCCAACAGAGAGTGATGCGTTCACCGACAGGTAAACAACAGGATGAAACAATAATAAAATAGCTGCACACACCCTTTGTGCTCGCACGTTAGGTAATAAGTATAGAGCCAAAGAATGACGCAATTAATAAAAGTCGCGCAGCAAATAAGAGAAATAATAAAACACAAGTTGTATACAATCTGTAACAGCAGGTGCGTGGCACGAGTGATTAAACACACAAGGGGAAAATATTACATTTAAAATCTCTTCAAAGTCATAAAGAGAATGGAAAAATATATGGATGCCTTGTAAATATGAAATTTTCTGTCAATTATTATTGGAATTTACAAATCAGTGAATTTTATTATAAAAATTCATGATCAAAAATTAATTTAATTTGAATTTTATATAATTTTACACTTGTTGAGATTTTAAAGATCTAATGTAGTAAGGAGTTTACTTCTAATTTTTAACGTTGTAACGATTTGCAAAACTAAAGATTAAGTCAAATTCCCATCTTTTTCTGACAATAAAATTTCTTAAAAATATGTTAATTGTTGGTGGCAGTGAAAGAGATTTTTATGTTTTCCTTATAGGATCAAAGTCAAAAGCCTTGGATTTCAAATTGGCATTACTGGCATTAGTTGTGGTCCTTGAAGCTTGGAGAAGTTGCGAGGTTTCTGTTTATAGACGCGCTATAGGAATTTTGTTTTGTATAACAAACAATTCACTTTTCTTTTGATCATTTTTACTATGCAAATAAAAACAGGCATTCAGGGCAAATGTTTGCTTTTTAAATGAAATTGAGGTCGAAAGTATGCTGGAATGCGGACCGATAAAAAGGTCCTATTTTAAAACAAACTTTATCAAAGCATAATAATTTTTCTGATCTGCGTGATAAAATCGGTGTGAAAAAAACAAACACCGGTTTTAATGCGAGTGCCCAAAAACTATGCGCTCATCAAGATCCAAATTATGCAGGATGCAGCGGAGTATAGTAGTAAAAAAAAACTAAACACCTGCTTTTTACGATCATTCGAGAATTTCTTAAGAGCGAGCGCGGCTTAAATTCACCCCACGCCAACAACGGAGATAATCCTTTTAAAAACAAGGAATGGCAAGCGAAAATCAGATTATCTTATTATAGTGTTCTACAAACAAACAAAACGAAAGCCATTAGGCGAAAAAAAAAGAATAAGAGATTCGTGCGATTCTGCTCAAGTCGCGGCTCACTTGTTGCGCGGCGGAAACTCGACTTTTCCACGCACTCCGCCTGATCTGCTCTGATTTTTCGAGTGTGTGTGTGCATGACGAATTGTCAATCGGAGCGGCGACGCTTTTAAGTTTTTTTCTTCTTTCAAACGAAGAAGAAGATCAGGTGTGGAGCTTAACCGACAGCCGAAAAAAAAAAACAGACTAGTGCAAGAGCCAACTATTTAAAATAATGATTTTATTTAAGAAGTCGTTGACTTAAATATTTCGAGTTCATAATTTCGGCTGTAGTGAGAGTTTTAAGATTTTTTTATTCTAACTAAAATTTATGTCCATTTTTTTCAATATCAGACGACGATGTTCAAAAAGTAAAAAAAAAAAATCTTGAACTTTAAATTAATTTCCGCTTACGTATCAGAAATTTAATTAAAAGTTTATGACCAATATATTTAAGCAATTTTTGTTTCTCAACTAAACAGTTAAGTCCTTATCAATTTACTATTTGCCTTTTAGGTTTTCCTCTCTCAAAATAATCAAATTTAAAATTAATTTCTTTTTATTACTTTAAATCAAGCCAATTTAGAAAAAATGAGGTACTCACTTTTGATTTGTGTTCGGAGTAGTCGTTTTGCGTGCTGATAATGCCAAAGCACTGGCTTGTTAGATGAAACCACCGGCGGCACTGAGGGTTCCTTGCTACGCGAACGACCGACAGACACCAATTTGTCCCTTTGCAGGCCGACTCGCCGCTGTTATATAGCTCCCCCTCCCAACGCCAAGCTATAGTAAGCGCTTCGCCGGAGCATCCTCCGACGTTCGCCATTCACCAATCGTCGCGTTTTTCCAGTTCCTGGCCGCGTCATTTTCCAGGAAATGCCAACACCCGACGCGAAAATTGCGGCTGAGATTTACCCAAACAATCACGAGCTTTTCAATCTTTCCTAATTTTTTTATTCAAATCATATAATAATACATTCTAGACCAGTTTGTAAAAAGGTGATTCACGAAACTGAGTCATCTAATTATCACAAAAATTGCAGCCTGTTTCGGAAGTTAATGTTAATTGGCAAATTAAGTCTTTAACATCATTCCCTTATTTTGGATTTTTACTGGAATTAACTGTGTGAATATCTTCATTTTTTTAAATAACAAAATTTGTAACTTAATCTGCAGCTTATTCATTTAACTTAATTTGTTTCTTGAACAGTTGAAGCCATAAAAATCGTTTGCATAAACCACTACGATTTAACCGCTTTTTCGCCTTGGCCTTCCAATGTCAGCTGAATATAAAGAGACAAGCAGGAAAATTTTTTAGAAATAATTTATGAAAAAGGTTTCACAAGTTAAATATTAAAGGGTAATTAGCCTTAACCAAGCCCAGGACAAGCTGAATTTGCACTAGGGTCAGATCAGGCTAGCTCTAGGAGTTAATTAAATCGAGAGGCACAGGCGGGCTAAGTTATAACAGACTAGGCCACGCTAGGATTGTGGATCATCCTTACCAGGAAGAGCAAAATACCAAAAATAATCAAAAAATTGTTGAACAAGCAAAATTACTGGAATTCATCTAAAACGGAATAGAAACAAAAATTAAATATCAAATCCAATTTTTCTGGAGTCTTTATGTTCTTAAATGAACCCGAGTTATCGGCCCTTGCGATTTAGCAGCCGGTCTGCTACCACTGGTGCCTTTCCCAAGAGGGATAAACAATGAAAAATTTTCATTGTGATTAGCTTAATTAAAACGGTTTGTTTTTATGGAAGACTCCAAAAGACAGTTGAAATCTATTGAATGCTATTTACTTAGCATTGTAATACCTTTTCAGCTTTATTAATATTTATTTAACATTTGTAAAACAAAGCAAAAAATTCTGCTGTACCATTCAGGAAAGAAATCGTGGATGTTTTAGATTCTATTATTAAGCAATTAAATCAAATTACTTTTTAAAATGTGAAAATGAGTTTAATTTATTTAACTTTATTAATTTAAAAATAAAAATAGTTTATTATTATGATAATTAAAAAAAATATTGTATTACATATTTATAATTAATAAATCTGTTGTTTTATAATATTTTAACATTTGAAATACTACAGTGTATTCCCCTAACTGATATTCCCATAGCTAACGCCTCCTTGAAAGAGGTGAAGGAAATGAACAATTATGGAGTTGAGGAAGAGTGACTTATTTTAGTCGCTACAGTTTCATTCAATAATTTCCTCAGAGTTACGTCACAGAATTTTTCACGTCGGATTCCGTTCACTAGTTTTTTTTTCTTGAGCACCACTCGATGGTTGGACTAGATGAATGACCATTGCCTGTCTAGCCCCTACACATCCGAAATGCAAGGGGACGTCATAATAAAAAGCGGCAATTAAATATGACTGCACCTACGGGTCGTGCACACCGCGAGGGCCAAGCCGTGTAATTATCGTCACTGCTGCATCCTCCCACACCAATGCACTGCTTTTCCCCGGCAGAACTAATTTCTCAGAAAGCTACTACTGCCGCCGCGCCACCGGAGCGTGAATTTTATTTTTTGGTGCGTGATTTTCAAAGAGGATTCAAAGTTGATTTCCACCGCGACGCGCGCGAACTTCCTACGATACCATCATTTTCATATAATAATCATGCACTTTGCCGGATATATTATATTTTATAATGTATAGCGCGTCTGTGCTGTATTGTTGTTTTCTGTCCTTTTGATTTGATTTGATTTAATATATATTTATTTATTAGTTCGAAAACTAGTACATGTACATTTAAAATATTAATATGTCAAAAATTTGTCCATTGCACTCTTGATGACCATTTTTGTCCTGCACAAATTGTCTTTTTTCAATCACTTGAACACAATGTTACAATATACTTTTTCTCTTTTGTACTTTCTGATTTTTATGCTAACATTGAAATAACATTTTTGAGGAACTAAAATTCACTTCAATTTACAAAAAAGCAACAATCTAAAGAAGCATTATACTTCCAGATAATATAAATTTGTAAAACTAATTTTCTTCAATATGTTTGGTTTATGTTAAGTTTTATTTATTACCTTATAATATATTTTATTTAATAAAAATTTTTACCGAAACATTTTAAAACTTATAATATTTTCAAATTTTAATAATTATTTAAACAAATTATATGTACATATTTTTTATTTGCAATATTAAACAAATAAATTAAATATTAATCCTTGTTCTTATGATTCTAATTATTAATTTTTTACTGGGAACTGCATTGGATAGATTTTCTCTGGTCATTCTATTACATTCAAATTATGTACATATACCTTCAATTTAAACATTATTAAACATTCTGAGAGTTTCAAAAGTTTTGGAAATTCTGAAAGAACATAAATTTAATTTGCGTGTATCATTGCTACTCAGCAGTAAATTCGCAGCGAGTATACAATGCATACGCGTGCTACTCTGGGCGAGGGCGTGACACGATCCACCCATGACCTCCGTGCAGAATTAAAAGCTCTCCCATTTGGCTCTCTTTGTGCCACACGTAGAGTCGCTCTTTCTGCGTGAGAACAGATTAAATTTATTGGGAGAGAGCCCTTTGTGTCTTTATTAAAGCCACCGTCGAGTGCAAGTCACGTATTCCCAAAAAGAAATACCCTTTCCTAATCCACTTATTGTTGTTTGCTATATGGAGCGACCCCAGGTGACCCTCCAAGGTCACGTCTATGCTTATACACATTTTATTATAAAAATTTTAATTCTTATCTTTTCTATTTAGGCTAATGTTCTTGGCTTGAGTAAAGCAAATTATGACAGCATGAATCATAAAAAAAATGTAAATTATAATTAACAATTACACAAACCCTGAAAATTACATGATGGGAATTATTATTGATTTGTTGAATTTATTAATAAAATATAATTTTGTAAAAAACCCTCAAATAATCATTTTTTTTACAATGTATCTTAACTTTGCAGGAATTATTAAAATCTACAATCTTTAATTAAGAGTTTTACGTGGCGACTAAAAGTGCTTTGGGATTAAATTTTAAAACTTTGCTAGACGATTTGAAATGTCATAATTTATGAATTATTATACTTTTTATAAAAATTACATGCATTATTTTTCCAACATTTTTCAAAATTCGAAATAAATTTCCTTCTGCGTCACGTTTTTTATTTTGCATGCGCAAATGATGGTTTCCTTCTTTGTTTGTTGACGAAGCGCAGCCGAAAGTGCGTAATTAGTGAGATTCAAACCCCAGGGTGTCCGTGTGATTAAGCGCGCTTTGAGGTTCGGCCACTATCTCAAAATTGCGGTTCCTCTCGCCAGAACTTCCTGTAAACAAATAATCTCCTTCGTCAGGATTTTCCACATTATTCTTCTTCGTCATGACTCGAAAATTAAGTCAAAGCAGAGAGAGAGAGAGAGGCACCCGGTGTGCAAGCAAAATTACACGCGACATGCGATTTCTCAGAAAATCCACTCTCAAAGAGGAAGCAGGGAAGTTACGCTACGTGCACTTAACTCCTTCTTTAGCACGTGAACGAAAAGGCAGCGGATGATGCATGAGAAAATTTTTAATTTTTTATCACTTAGAGAATAAAAAGAAGTGTTGTGTAATGAAATTGATTAATTTAACGTTATTCATTTACTTAATTTTCGGAGACAACAAATATATCTTTTTATTTTTGTTATTGGAAATATGCAAATTCTTCTTGGAAAAGTGAATATGCGCAGTTACAAAATTATTTCATGGTCAAGGTTGGTTGGCTGCAGGAATCTTGCACCAAAATAACTGCTTTCCTTGAAGGTTCCAGACGCTCTTCAGTTATATTAAAATGTTAATTAAAAATAATGTGAGTAGATGACTTTTGTTTTAAATACTCAGATCAAACAAGAATAAATATTTATTTCACGAAAATCGGTTTGGCATGCAAGCGAAAGATAATCTGTAATTTTACACCATTGAAGGAGTAATAAAAATCTTTGATAATTGGAACCTCATGAAATTATGTTTAACTTCTGGTGGGACGTGTATATTATTCTAAACGTTTGACAGTGGCCTTGAATATTTTGGCTAATTTTGTTGACGAGGGGCTATTAAAATTCGTTTTGAGCGAAAACATTATGTTTTTACCCTCGAGTCCCTGAATTTACTTGTGTTTGGTGAACATTAAACCGAATTCGCTTTCGGCCAACAATCATCAGGAGCGACGCCGCCGCTTTTATTTTCGGCGGCACGCACCGTGGTCACACAAATTGAGCCCCTGACAGCCACCAACAATGGGTCATTATGGAGAACCTCTCCTGCTTTTCCTTCCAAGCGACGCTGCACTTTCAGGGAGGGCATTGACTCCCTGCACTTGTTATTAAGATTAAAAATAGTGCTTTGATGTCATAAAAATAAAACAGAACGGAAAACTATTGATTTTATAAACTAATACCAGGCTTGAAGAATTTTTTGTAAAATAGATGCAAATTTCCCAATTTTGAAACAGAAATAATAATAAAAAAAAGCGCAGCTAAATTTATGAAATTAGGTTGCAGATTCCGGAGGAAACTTCATATTTTTTCTCTTATAATAAAAAAATTATATCTATTTTTTTCAAATTAGCGAGATCGATCATAATAATTATATTTGTAAAAATTAAAATTGTATGATAATTTTTTTGATGAATTAAAATCCTGGCTTCCTCAAAGAAGTTGAGCACATTTTATTGTTTCTGAGATAAATGAACGACTTGAGTGCCGAAGGA